TCTCTGAACTGTGTACTTAGGATCTTTACCTGTTTATGCATTGGATCATTGGTCTTTATCTCTTTTTTTAAAAAAAAATGACTTTAAGAAAATCAGTCCTTTTTCCCCCAAGTGCAAGATTTATTTATTTTTAAATTTTGTCTGGCTTATTTTGGCAGATTATTTTAGTTATTATTTAAGGACATTTATCAACCTTTCTGTAATGGCTTCCAGGTTTTCTGTTGTACTTAGAAAGGTTCTTTACCACTGCATGATTATTTTAAACAATTCTCCAATTTTTCTTTCCTTAGTATTTTAATTTTCAGGTTTGAGGCTTTGATCAATCTGCAGCTTATTTTAATGTGAAGAGTTCAGTTATGATCCATTTCAGTTTGTTCTAGAAGTCTGCCCAATTGTTCTAACACCACGTGTGGAAAAAGCCACCTCAATGTCGATAGCCCTTTTTGTAGGTGTGTTCAGTTTGGTTATTTTTCATTGTTAACTTCTAATTAACATGTTAATTTCTAATTTCATCATTAACTTCTAAAAGAGAATATGGACTGTACTATTTGTGCTCTTTGGAAATCTCGTATTAAGATTTTCTTTGTGGACAATTTTTGTGACTATTTGGTCTGTGTTTGAAAGGACGTGTATTTGCTACTGGGAGGAAATACAGTTAGAGTTTTCACTTGGGCCACTTCAATCTTCCAGTCTTCTTCTACTAGATTTCTATTTTCTGAGAATGGTGTGTGGAAGTTTCTTGCTATTTTGGGGGCATATAGGTTCTCTGAGTTCTCTTAAGTTCTTTTTTAAAGTTTAAGTTCGTCTAATACCTTCTTTTCTTTTAAGGACACAAATGTAAGGGCACCTGGGGGGCTCGGTTGGTTAAGCGACGGACTCTTGATATCAGCTCAGGTCTCCATCTCAGGGTCGTGAGATTAAGGCCCCCGTTGGGCTACATGCTGGGTGCTGGAGCCTACTTAAAAAACAAAATGAAACAGGGGCACCTGGGTGGCTCAGTCATTAAGCGTCTGCCTTTGGCTCAGGTCAGGATCCCAGGGTCCTGGGATCGAGTCCCACATCGGGCTCCCTGCTCAGCAGGAAGCCTGCTTCTCCCTCTCCCACCCCCGCCGCCGCTTGCGTTCCCTTTCTCGCTGTGTCTCTGTCAAATAAATAAATAAAATCTTTAAAAAAAAATAAAATAAAATAAAAAAAAACCAACAAAAAACAAAACAAAACACAAATGTGGTTGTGTTGCTTGCTCTTCTGATCTGCTCTCCTTTCCTGGTTAATATGCCCATGGTATGTCATTTCCTGTTCCAAAGATTGTCATTTCCTGCCTCCTCCTTCATTCAGTCTCTTACACAGCTTTAAACCCAAGAACACACTCAAGTATTTTAACAGTAGTTTCATTTACCTGAGAATATCTGCATACATTCTTCTTACCATATTACAGGAAAAGAGCAATTCTCTTTCCTCACTCCTTCACCCCCAAGTTCTAGTTTTCTCCTTCATTCCCCAGAAGAAACTTTTGAATTTGGTAAGTCTCTTCCCAGAACCTTTTTATTTTCTGCTTTTGCATATGTATCTGTAACCGCTGAAAATCTAATTGTATTGCTTTGAGTATTTTTTAAAAAGTAGATGTATTTTTTTATATTACAATTGCTTTTTCTACTTTTTTTTTTTTACTGTCATAATAACATGTCTTGGGTAACTATCGTTTTTATTTCAGAAGATGGAGGGCATTTTCTTAACTGCTGCACAATATTCTGTAGTATGACTATACCTTAGTTTATTTAGCCATTTCTATGTTGATGGACATTAGGGATGTTTCCAGTTGTTCAGGGTTACACACTGTATTGTGGTGACAGTCTGTGCACATATCCTGTTTAGCACATGTGTGTTTCTGTGGAGTGTGATTTAGGGAATGAACTTGCTAGTTTGTCCCCTTATATGTCCAGTAGGTTTTGTTTGCTACATTTTGAACATATGCTGTTTGGTGCTAGCCACATATCTAAGATGTCTTTTCTAAATAAAAGTATTTTTGTGATAATTGCATTGTGAAAGATTTAGGCTCTGCAGGCTTTGGGAATCCAGTGCAAAGTGTACCTGTCCAAAACACTTCCTGCTAGTTTCCAGAGTCAAGAAAACTTGTCTAAATAATGATGTAAATTCTAGATTACAAGGGAGAAAAAGGGTTTTGCCCCATAATTCCAATTCTAGGAGAGAAATAATCAGAGATATGCACAGGATATGTGAAAAAGCTTTGCAATACAATATTATTTTTAAGAGTAAAGAAATTGAAAATTCCTTAAAATAAATTTTGATATATCTGCATGCTGGAGATCAAGAAACATTAAAAATGTGCCAAAGCAGACTATTTAATGGTGGGGTAAATGTTCATTCTAAATATTAAGTGGGGTAAAAAAATAGGTGTATACACCTGCATAAGCAGCCTGATTCTGATTTCTATATAAATGTATCTTTGCGTGTATGTGTGATGTATGATATCTTGTGTGCATGTGTGTGTGTGTATGATAATGATAACTGTGACCATTCTATAATTTACTATATTCTCAATTTTCACACACACAAAAAACACTGCTTCTACAATCAGAGTGGGCTGGGGGAGAGGGAAGGTGTTTTTAAAGGAAAAACTAAAAACTTCAAAGTCTTTCAAGGTACTTTATAAAAAGATTAAAACTTTATTGTGCAAATAAAAAATATTTCTAATTAATTAATTAATTTTTAGAGAGAGAGAGAGCCATGTGCCCAGGGGACGGTGGGAGTTGGGAGGAGCAGAGGGAGAGGGAGAGAGAGAATCTTAAGCAGGCTCCATGCCCAGTGCAGAGTCCTATGCAGGGCTCGATCTCATGACCCTGAGATCATGACCTGAGCCGAAATCAAGAGTCGAATGCTTAACGCACTGAGCCACCCAGGCGCCCCCAAAATACTTCTATTTTAACATCAGATATAGAAAATACATGGGTCCTGGTTCACTTGATCATTACCTCAAGTGACAGAATCAGGATTTGTGTTTTCATCCAAGAATGTTAGTGCAGGGAGCTTAAGGACCCAGGAACTCATCCACTTTGCTTTCAGGAGGAAAGAGGTACAAACAGGTTAAGGTCATTTGAGGTTAAGGAAAGTGCCCAGGAGCACAGAGTCTGTGAGATCAAGGAAATGGTGGAACTGGACGGGAAGTTAAAGGTTTTCTAGTTCAAGTTTCTCAAACTGCAGACCTCCGGGACCACCTCCTAAGGTACGGGAGCATCTGAGTAAGGAGTCAACCAAGAGTTCTTCAACTTTACAGAGTTTGAAAAACACTACTTCCCAACGAGTTTTCCACTGGGGAAATGGGAAACCAGGAGGGTGAGGAAAGTACTCAAGTGCCTAGTTCCTGTTGGGTCTGCACAGCCAGGATCTGTTTCCTTCTTTCGGGTTAACCCTCATTTGTTCATTAATTGCTGACCATCACTGCACATGCCTTACAGGACTTACTTAGTCAAACACTTTAGGGGGTGGGTGTTCTGATCCCCATGTTACAGAGGGAGCACCTAACTCTCAAAGGACCTGAGCTGCCTAGGCCTGGGGCCATTGCCCCAGACAGGTTCTATCTAAGTTTTGTCAGACCCTAATGCCCCCTACTCTGAACCACTGCACTTCCCCCCTTCCCTGACAGTCAGCTGCAGGTGTACTTCCTGGCGTTGACGGTGATACTGCAGCCGTCTTATGGAGCTGGGTCCCACACCTGCTCCTCTGAAGAATCCAGTACAAACCCTGCTCCGAGGGCTTGTTTTATCACCAACATGGGCCTATCAGAGCAGGGAGGAGGAGGGGTGAGTCAAGGGGCTCACAGGAGGAGGAACCCCAGATTCTGGGCTGTTTGCGTGAAGGTTGTCCGGGCTTCCACAAACAGTGCCCTCTCCTTTTCTATCTGCTCAAACATGTAAGTGTGTGAAAATATCACATCATCTGATTTGGAGACTGAATTGGAAGGCTGATAAAGTTGACTTGGTTTCATTTCTGCATTGGAAGGCTGATAAAGTTGACTTGGTTTCATTTCTGCATTGGGAGGCTGACAAAGTTGACGGTTTCATTTCCAGCTGTGGGTCCTTGGTCGGTTGTGGGGGCTGATCCCGAGGCCTTTGGGGGACGGCACTGCATCGTGTTTTCCTAGCACCATTGTTTCAGTCAGACCCCATCACTTCTCCAGCCTCCAGCCCTTCCAATCTATCCTCCACACTTTTTTTTTTTTGTTTGAGAAAGAGAGAGCGTGAGAGAGTGCATGAGCAGGGGGAGGGGCAGAAGGAGAAGCAGACTCCCTGAAGAGCAGGAAGCCCGACCAGGACCCTGAGATCGTGACTTGAGCCAACGGCAGCTGCTTAACCCACTGAGCCACCCAGGCGCCCCTATCCGCCACACTTGAAATGTTAATCCCAAACTGGATGACATTACAGTCCTTTCTTAGTTCCTCATCACCTCTGGGACAAAACCTGAGCCCTTGCCCCCACAGTATGAGGCCCTTTGTAATGGTTCCTGGCCACAGCTTCATCCCTTTTCCCACCATTCCTCCTCCCAGACACTTCGTGGTTACTTTATTGAGCTCCTTGTGGTTGCTTGAATTGACTTGAACATTCTCGCCTCCATCTTTTGCATAAATTATTTCCTGCAAGAATTGTCCTTTCCCACCTCCTTCCGAAAGGTGCCTTCCCTCCAGGAAGCCCTTCTCCCTGGTTGAGTTAGGGTTCCTTCCTCTATATTCCTATGGTGCCCTTGTCACAACTCTCTGACTATTGGCTAATTTGTGTATCTACCTTCCAAAATAGTGAGCTAGTTGAGAGCAGAAACATGTCCTGTTTGTTTTTTTCTTCCCTGTGTCCTCAGTAAAATGTCTAGTGTATAGTAGATAATGGCACTTAATGAAGGAACAAACTGGTAAATGGTACTTCTCTTCCTCATCTGAACATAATATTGTATTTTGACCTAGGCTACAACACCACTCTCCTGATACTTGACCAACATGAATTTCAGCAAATGCCTCTATAATATTGGAGAGCAGCTGGACAGTGATGAGCTGGCCTCCCTCAAATTCCTTAGCATGGACTGCATCCCACAGAAAAAGCAGGAACCCATCAAGGATCCCTTGATGTTATTCCAGAGACTCCAGGAAAAGCGAATGTTGGAGGAAGGCAACCTGTCCTTCTTGAAGGAGCTGCTTTTCCGAATTAATAGACTGGATCTGCTGGTCACCTACCTGGACACCAGCAAGGAGGAGATGGAGCAGGAACTTCAGATACCAGGCAGAGCCCAGATCTCTGCCTACAGGTGGGGACAACCTCCACAGTTCAGGCACTGGGAGGTGTGGGTGCAATGGACACATCTTTGTGGGCAGGGCTGATTGCGGGTGTCTGTGTCATATGACTTTGGAAGTTCCTCGAAGATGTCCCACTAGGACCAGATTAAGAAATTTAGAGATCTTATATATAATTCAGAAAAAAGTTAAACCATAAAATAAAAAATTTGTTTCCAAAGTGAAATATGACCTATAGGTATGCTGATATTAAAACAGCCATCTTCTGAATTGTCTCTCTCCCCATTCTGTCTACTCTTCTGTTTGCCTCTGCTCTGTTGATGTCCACGTCCTGTGCTTGCTTTGCCCATTACTGCATAAAGCATCGCTGCTGCTTCTCCGAAATCCCCCACCTGCATGTGGATGACTGTGGACATTCTCAGTGGGGTTCTAGGCTTTTATTCCACCCTGAAAGACTTGCTTCATAAGGTTCTCCAATGAAGGCTGTGTGTTGCCCATCGTGCTGGGCCGGACAGGCTGGGCTCCACAAAGATTGCCGAGCCCCTGTGTGCCCAGCTGCTGCCAGGAGGACAGTGGCGACCTCAGCCATCTGTCCGGCCGTATGCCTTGCAGCTGGGCCTCTCCCTGCCTGTGGGGCAGCGGGACCCAGGGCTGATAAGAAGCCATGTTCTCTTATGTCTTCACGAGTCGGTAACAGACTTTGTGTGTGTGTGTGTGTGTGTGTGCAAAAAGGTGATTTTTATTAAAACACAGGCAGAAAGAGCAGCACTGGGGTTGTGAGGGATGACTGATTATATAGGTAACAGACTTTAAAAACAGGCACACATTACCAACTTCTGTCTTTCAACATGCCCTCTTACCAGACACTCCTCAGCGTTATTTTTAGCTTCCCTTCTGAAAACTTCTACTCCAGCCTTAGCTGTGGCCCATTTCACGGCCTCTTCTCTCTTGTCAGTAATGATGGCAAGTGTGATGGTATGTTCTCACAGCCAGGGCTGGAAGCCCCTATCCCCTATTAGCCTGGCCTATTTATGAATGCTCTGGTCCTCAGTCTCAGAGACCTGAGATTCTGGCATGTTCCTTACCATATCTTTCTCTGCTCGAAGCTTGAGCATTTTGATAAGTGACAAAAGAGATATGCTGGGTGTATGAGTTTCCAAAGGCTGCTGTGACGAAGTCCCACAAACTGGGTGGCTTACCACAGTAAAGACATTCATACTCGCACAGTTCTGGGGGCTAGAAGTTTGAAATGAAGGTGTCAACAGGGTTGGTTTCTTTGGAGCTCTGAGGGAGAGTCTGTTTCATGTTCCTTTCTCCCCTAGCTTCAGGTATTGGCAGGCAAGCCTTGGTCTTCCTCATCTTTTCGATGCATCTCTCCAATCTCCGCTCTGTGCCTGTTTTTCTGAATTTCCTCTTCTTGGAAAGCCACCAGTCATTGAAGTAGGGCCAACCCTGATCTAGTGTCACCTCATCTTAACAAGATTATATCATCAAAGATCCTTTTCCCAAATAAAGTCACATTCATCCATCCAGGGTGGACATGAATTGGGGAGGAGAGTCGGGGAGGACATTATTCAATACCGGATAACTTTGTTTTAATGGGACTGTGACATCTTCCTAATGATTTTTTTTTTCATTAAGGTAGCAATTAATCTTAAAAAACAACAACCCTAGAACTAGGAGGGTCTTGTGCCCACCATCTTGGTCTTCTGAAGGTTGCCCTCCTTCGGTCATGTAAGCAAGGCTAAGGCAAATTGTCAACGTCAGACTGTGACCTGTACTTCGCTGGTGGAAGGCTGAGTCCCACACAAGGGAGGATCTGTCTGTTAAATTTTTTTTTTTAAAGATTTTATTTATTTATTTGTGTGAGAGAGAGAGAACACAAGCAGGGGGAACAGCAGGCAGAGGGAGAAGCAGGCTTCCCGCTGAGCAAGGAGCCCGATGCAGCACTCAGTCCCAGGACCCCGAGATCATGACCTGAGCCAAAGGCAGACACTTCACCGATTGAGCCACCCAGGCGTCCCTGTCTGTTAAATCTTTAACACATTAGCTGGAGAACAAAAGGGTCAGCACAAATACAATCTACTGTTCATCGTTGTTGGATATTAGCCAGGAAATAAAAAGTATGCTAGAGTGGCCACTTTCCATTTAGAGAAAGCATTAGATATTTTTATTTTAAAATTATAATTGCTGCCTATAAAATAAGTATCTTATAAACTACCCAGGTTTATTTCTAGACAGTGATGGTACAAGAAAGCCAGTAGGTTTTAGTAATGAGGAAAGTAAGAGGGCAAAACACCTTATAATAAAGATAAAAGGGCTGGTAACTTTTGACTGGACCCAATCTTGGCCAAACTGAGAAAACTGTGGAGAAATACTTCTAGGGTAGAGATTCCAGGAGAAGAAGGATGAAATAGATGATAATACTGAGAAACTTCTGTTTGTATACTATTTTTATTTTCAGAACTTTAATTTTCTAATTTAATTTGAAGTTAGCATGTTTTTGTGTTATTTTCCTTTACACCACAATGGTGAAAGGTTTGCTGACTTATTAAACATTCCTTTGTTCCTTCAACAGACATATCCCAAGAACCTCTCATGGATTAGGAAATAATAATGCCTGTTGTGTATCGAACACTCAATGTGTTGCCAAAGATTGGTTTAAGCACTTCAGATAAATTTATTCATATTATTCTTAATATGTCCCAATGGTATATTTTATCATGTACAAGTTTACAGATGAGGGGAAAAAGTGTACAACACGTCTAGAGTCACACAGCTCTTAGATGATGGAACCAAAGTTCCAACGCCAGTAGCCCAGGTCCTCTGCACTTAACCTCTGCACTTCAGGACCCACCGGGCTTATGGAAACAAAAAGGGCACAGACCCTGCTCTCAGGGGACTCAGAGGACTTCATAAGCAGACAGTTATAACATGTGTGTAAACTTTCTGGCGATACAAAGGCACAGTGTGGTGAATGCAGCCTTGAGGACACTCAGGCAGTACTTGAGCTGTTAGTGGGTGAGTGTGTCTTCAGATGGGACAAGGGAATGGGGGTGTGAACAGCACAGCATACAGGGGTGGGGGCAGGGCAGCTGGGTGTGTTTGAAGAGGAGATGCGGGCAGGTGCTGAGGAGTGGCTAGAGAAGCTGAAGAGGTAGGCTGGGCTCAGTGCACAAAGGTTTGTATTCCAGAACCAAGTGTGGGGCCTTCCTACTGAAGTTGATGGCCAGGAGAGCACTAACAAGTTTTAATTTAGAAAGTGATGATCCAGGGCACCTGGGTGGCTTAGTCAGTTAAGCGTCTGCCTTCGGCTCAGTTCATGATCCTGGTGACCTGGGATCAGCCCCGCGTTGGGCTCCCTGCTTAGCGGGGAGCCTGCTTCTCCCTCTCCCTCTGCCTGCAGCTCCCCCTGCTTGAGCACACACACACACACACTCTCTCTCAAATAAATAAATAAATAAATAAATAAATAAATAAATCTTTAAAAAAGACCAGGAGGTGATGATCCAGTTGCATTTTGAAAAGCATAATTTCCAAACTAAAAACTTTTTTTTTTCCTACTGCAACAAGCTCCTGATTTTATAGTGAAGGACCAAGGAAAAACACAATTCATTTAACTGAAACTAACTGAACGGCATAGTTAGTGGACCTTAACTCTGTTAAGGGTGGAGTAGCTGCGCATGAGTCAGTAGTCTGTCATGTCACTGCAGCAGTCTCTTTGCAAGGATTCAACTAATAAATTATGTCATTAGCTGTCTTTAATTTAAGGGGAGGTGACCAGAATCAAGTTTCCACTGCCACTCCTTTTATCAAATGGGAAATTATTTGAGAAACCATTTCTAAAGTGTCTCCATTTCCCACCACAGGGTCATGCTTTTTCAGATTTCAGAAGATGTAAGCAAATTGGAATTGAGGTCCTTTAAGTTTCTTTTGAGCCAGGAGATCTCCAGATGTAAACTGCATGATGATTTGGTAAGACCTGGTGTTTCACCAAGATTTGGTCCTGAGGTTGAGTTAGCCCGTGGGGATTGCTGTGACTGGAGAGAGGGCTGGTCCAGTACAAGCAACCTGGACTCTCACTTTCCAACCAGGGGAGAAGAAAAGAGTGGTTGGACAGACAGCAGTGTTGCAGATACCATTCCTTCGTATACTGAGAAGTGCTGCTCACATTGTCAGGAGCATGGCAGGGTTAGTAGCTAGGGAAGAAGACTGGTTGTGGAGGCACAGCCCATTGCGGGACCCTGCAGAGCCAGGCAAGACAGTGGTGAGCTGGAGACAACTCCCCACTTCTACAGGCTTTGAAACCACCTGGGACCTGGAACTCTGGGCGTGTGCGTGCGTGCGGGCGTGTGCGTGCGAGAGTGCGGACTCTGTGCGTGCGTGCGTCCGGACTGGAGGTGGATCACGAACCGGAGGCAGTGTCGGGAGAGACGCAGTCCCCAGGGCTGTGACTCTGGGGACCAGGCTACAGTGTCTCAACCATGCACCTAGGCTATTTCAGAGGCGTCCCCTAAAGGTGTCCCCGGTTGGTTGCAGCACAGGGCTTGGGGGCTGGGGCCTGGGTGACACCTGATGTCACTTTTCCTCTACCTTCTCATTTCTCTCTTCCTGGGCCAGAAAAGACAAAATTGCTTCTCTAGTGCTCTATTGGCTTTATAAGACCAGGATATCTTGTCAGGAGGGTTAGCTTGGGAAGCTAGGGGGGGCCCTCTCTTTGGACAAAGTGGACTTAAAAGAAAAGAAAATCTCATCTAAAAGCCAGTCTTCCAACTTTATTTCTCTTCCTTCTAGAACTTGCTTGATATTTTCATAGAGATGGAGAAGAGGGTCATCCTCGGGGAAAGAAATTTGGACACCCTGAAAAGAATCTGTGACCAAATTAACAAGAGCCTGCTGAAGAAAATCACGGATTATGAAGAATTAAGCAGAGGTAGAAATAACTTGACAGCTGTGAATTAGCAAAATGTATTCTTAAATTTACAAATCCCTCTGTGTCGAGATTGTTTCTAATCAAATATGTGTTTCTTTTTTAATTCAGAGCAAACAAGGAGCCCTCAAAGAAGTCTAGATGAAGTTTCAAATGGTAATATGCGAAATACGTATTTAAGACTTACTCAGTTAATTTACTGTCAGCTACCCGCATTGCCTCCTCTCCCCACAGCCTTCTCACACATCCACATCTTAATGGTCTTGCTCTCCTAAAATCAAGAAGGCCGCATGCCTACTTGTCACCTTCTTTACACATTGAAAGATGCACACCTGCTGTCAAAAGACACAGACCTTGCAGCTCCAGGCTGACAAGTTTAAAATAGGTGAAGAGTCAGTCAGTAAAAAGATTTTTATTCTGTGGACCGCAAGGATATTATGTTCAAGGCAGTCTGTGAGTTTTCGTTTTAAAGGGGACCTTATGCTATCCTGGGTGCTCTGTGTTTCTTTACCAAAATCCCTTCTCTGCTATGCTTCATTCCAGATATGTCTCAGTTGCTTATAGGGGAGGAATCCCTGAGGGTGCCGCCAGTGTCGGACTCTCCAGGAGAACAGGACTATGAATCAGAGGTGTGTAGAAATTTGGACTCCTTTTTCTCTTTAGTTGCTGATTCTAGTTCTTGCATTCCTCAGCTTTTAAGCGGTCAGATAAACTAGTAAGGGGCAGATGCTTACTGGAAATTTTGAGAACCATAGAAAATTTTCAGAAACAGATAAATTTAAAATGTGATTTTTTAAGTTTCAAAAGTAAAAAAGTGTTAAAATTTTACTTTATTTTATTTTATTTTAGATTGATTTATTTATTTGAGAGAGTGAGAGAGAGAGCACATGTGAGCAGGGGAGGGGCAGAGGAAGAGGGAGAGAGAGAATCCCAAGCAGACTCCTTGCTGAGCGCAGAGGCTGATGTGGGGCTCCACGTGGGGCTCAATCCCATGACTTGAGCACAAATCAGGAGTCAGATGTGTAACCGATGGCACCACCCAGGCACCCCTAAAATTTTATTTTATTTTATTTTATTTTATTTTAAGATTTACTTATTTATTTGAGAGAGAGAATGAGAGAGAGAGAGAGCACATGAGAGGGGGGAGGGTCAGAGGGAGAAGCAGACTCCCCGCTGAGCAGGGAGTCTGATGCGGAACTCGATCCCGGGACTCCAGGATCATGACCTGAGTCGAAGGCAGTTGCCCAACCAACTGAGCCACCCAGGCGCCCCTAAAATTTTATTTTAAAACCAAAGACAAAGGCATTGGAATAGTCAGAGGGCCGAGAAAGCAAGAAGCCTCCTGGCAACCCTTTCAGCAGCTGCCTCAGCCGAAGTGGGAGAAGGCTTTGGGAGAAAAGTCTAGCAGACCTGGGAAAAGAAAGCCTTTTCTTTTAGGCTGACATTTCAAAACTGTTTCTCCATGGTGATTTAGGGGTAAGCAGCAAAGGATCATGATCTAGCCATCTCTATGCTCTCATCTCAATGAGCCAGTGCAAGAATTGCTTTTTAGACAATCACTTTAGTTTATTAACCTTCAAAGATTCACCAGCCACATTCTGATTCATTAGCCCGTTCACTCCTCTCTGTTATGGGAAGCAGAGGAAACCGTGAATGCTATCAGTCCAGTGGGAGACTTGAAATTAAGCTGAGAGAGACCAGTTACAGGTGGGCTCCTGAGCAAATTACCAGACCTCTCTAGGTCCGAAAACCAAGGATTTGCCAAAGTCATGTGGCACTTTGCAAATAGCAAAGCACTCTACTGAGTGTCGTCCCCACTGAACAGCTAACCGTACTGAGTGCCAGAGAGATTAGGTAACTTGCACAGAGTCTTAAGGTTATTACATAGTAGAGCCAGGAATGTGAGCCCTTTGTGCAGAGCACTTTTCTCTACCTTGAAGAGCGGCATGGATTTCCCAATAAATGCCAAGTACCTCGGCACTGAAACAGCCCCAGGAAAGTCAGGACGCAGGGCCGTCTCTGACCAGATGCTCTCAGGTACTAGAGTCTGGATACTGTAACCTGCAACATAGCCAAGACCTGCCTGACGAGTCCATCTCTCTCCTCCAGTCACTGTGGCCCTGAGAGCCAAATTAGGTTGTCGGCTTTCAAAGTCCTGGGACCGTGCTATGTCATGTGTGAAGGGCAGGCCGTCAACTGTTAGCCCAGAAAAATAGATGAGTTGACTAGTTGGCCAACAGAATAACAAGGTGACAGACAGGCAGCCCAAAGACAGCATGAAGACGTTCATTCATCCAGCAACTCCTGATTGAGCTCTCACAAATTAATAAATTCTAGCTCCTGCTGCAAATGTTAGCTGCCTTGAGCAGAAACAAGAACATATGAAAATATGCTATGATGACAACAGTATTAATAGATGTGCAAAGTGCTCAAGAGGCCCCAGTACTGGGACCCTGATTTTACACACTAACTGTGGGGCAGGAGTCTGGGGATCCTGCGTCAAGGGAACGGGCGGAAACTGGTTCACCAGAGAAATGACGTCAAGTTGAGGGAGGGCTGGTGAAAGGACCCTTGCATCCTCGTTTGGCTAAGGGGGCAGCCCAGCTTCTTACTAGGGAGTTGTTTGTTCACATCTCAAGGGTTTGACCCTCAGAGTCAGCTCCCGGGTTGGATTTTTGTCTTCCAGACATCAGAGAAGGTTTACCGAATGGAAAGCAAACCTCGAGGATACTGTTTGATCTTTAACAATTATGACTTCAGCATAGCACGGAAGGAAGTGCCCAAACTTCAGAGCATTAAGGATAGGAATGGAACAGACTTGGATGCAGGTACAGTAGAACCCTGAAAAGAAGTGAAATATTTCTAATAACCTCAGTTTTTTTTATCAAAAGGGGAGAACAAAAACTGTACCAACAGGGCTTCATGTTTCAGAAAAAAAAATGGATAAAACCACATTTCCTTGTGGAAATGAAGACATTCTTATATATTTGCTAATTTTCTGCTTTTGTTTTTTTAAATTAACTTTTAAATCAAAGTAATGTATATAAGATAAAATATCAAATCTTACTAAAAGGCTTATAATAAAAAGCAACAACAATAAGCTTTGCTTTTAATTCAACTTAATGAATAGTGTTTCTGTAGACTGTATTAAGTATTAGGTGAAAACATTGCCTTGGGATCAAGACCACATACTGTATTTATAAAAGTTGGGCAGATGAAATTGTGAGTCTTTAATAGAAATACCATTTTCAAATATTAAACTAGCCAGAAATTCTTTTGCTCAGCCTCTTTAGAAGGAGCAACTTAAAAGAGAACTTATAAGAACTTACAAGTTAAATGAAAACTTGTGATAATTTAAATGAAAAAATAATTTTCAGTGTGTGAACATAGAAATGGCTACTACTAAAAGTGATAGAAATAATGCAACTCATCCAATATATTTTTGAAAATGGTGTCTATGAGTCATAACATCAGGTAATGCCTTATATTTTTAACTGAATAAAGTTTAGAAAATTAATTTAGGTTGATTTTAATCATCAAGACTCTGCTGATGGTCTCTTAACACATATTCAAGCAAATCTGTTCTAAGATTTCAAAAGCCACAGAGCTTTAAGTCCATTGGCTATATCACTCATCATCATATACCTTGGTCTTGAAGAAGAGAATTCAGGCCTTTGATTTACATTCATTTATTATCAAAACTTTTTTTTTTTTTTTTTTTTTGTAGAGAGAGAGAGAGAGCACAAGCATGGGGAGGGGCAGAGGGAGAGGAACAGAGAGAATCTTAAGCAGGCTCCACACCCAGTGCGGAGCCCATTGCGGGGCTCCATGTCGTGACCCTGGCATCATGACCTGAGCTGAAATCAAGAGTTGGACATTTATGGGGGTGCCTGGGTGGCTCAGTCATTGAGCGTTTGCCTTCAGCTCAGGTCATGATCCCAGGGCCCTGGGTTCAAGCCCTGCATCGGGCTCCCTGCTCAGCAGGAAGTTTGCTTCTCCCTCTCCCACTCCCCCTGCTTGTGTTCCCTCTCTCGCTGTGTCTCTCTTTGTCAAATAAATAAGATCTTTAAAAATAAAAAAGAGTTGGACATTTAACTGACTGAACCACCCAAGTGCCTCACTATCAAAACATTTTTATTAAAATAATATTTGATTGTATTTCTGGCCTTTTGGTCAAAGGGTAGGTACAAAGTTGCAGATATGTAACTTATTTAGAGATCTAATGAATGACATAATGACTATAGTTAATAATACTGTATTGAATACTAGAAATATGCTGAGAGTGTATTTCAGGTGCTCTCATCACACATACACACACACAAAAGGAATTAAGTTTGTGAGGAGATATGTTATTAGCTTGACTGTGATAATCACTTCACTGTGTATATAATCAGTTTTATGCCTTAAGTATATACAATTTTTAGTTAAAAAAAAATCAGGCACCCTGAAAGTGTTGAAAGACTTTGACTAGATCTTAGAGAACTTGGAAAAAAAATAAGGTTATGCATATGGAAAACAAAGCAATGAAAAAATAATGCAATTACTAATTCCAGGAAAGACAAAAAATTTAATAAAAAAGGAAGCATAATTAAAGAATATTATGTTTACATAGTACTATTGATTCGATTAAAAGTTGTAAATAACTGTATGACAGTATCAAATGCTCATCCTCCATAATAAGAACTCAATACAAAGTCTAAAATTTATAAGTAAATAAATAGCAAAGAGCTCAAATTCATTATAAAATGGAGGTGAATACCAAAAAATAGTTGTAAAAAGTTGAAAGTGGTTGCCTTCATGGAACATGACTGGGTAATAGGGAGAGTTAGAGAAGTGATAGCTTTTTGTAATAGGCCTTTTAATTCTACTTGATTTTTTAAACATTCATATCTTGTATTTTTCTTACAAGATTTATTTATTTGAGAGAGCAAGTGCAAGTGGAGGGGGGGAGGAGAAGAGGGAAAGGGACAAGCAGACTCCATGCTGAGCATGGAGCCTGATGTGGCTCAATCTTCACGACCCTGAGATCATGACTTGAGCCCAAATCAAGAGTCAGACACTCAACTGACTGAGCCACCCAGGTGCCCCTCATGTTTTGTATTTTGATAAACAAATTTGAGAGTTCAAGATAAAATAAGTATGAAGCTTCTATTAAATTTTTTTTTTGCCTTTTATTTTGATTATGTAAGTAATACAATCATTATTTAGATTGGTTTGGTAGTAAGCCTAAATAATAGCTTACCCATCTTATAGACTAGTTGAGAAAAGACAGAAGGCCAACAATAGCACTCTCCCCTTTCTCATTTGCCTCAGGACTGGAAGTGTTTTCAGCTGGGGGCAATAAATATTAGAAAACTATGGAATTCAGCCAGTGATATAAAAGGTCTTGTTCTTCAGTTCTGGTTCAGATTCTTTGTACTCTATCATCTCTCTCTCTATCATCTATCTATCTATTAGAGAGAGAGAGAGAGACAGCGAGAGAGGGAACACAAGCAGGGGGAGTGGGAGAGGGAGAAGCAGGCTTCCCACTGAACAGGGAGCCCGATGCGGGGCTCGATCCCAGGAACCTGGGATCATGACCTGAGCAGAAGGCAGACACTTAGCGACGGAGCCACCCAGGTGCCCTCTGGTTCAGTTTCTTAATCTGATCAGTGTTCTCTCTAGCTCTGGACTGTGGTTTGGGGCTTATTGTGGTGTAATATGAGTTTTCTTGTTTCACTTTTCAGATGCTTTGTGTCAGACCTTTAGTGAGCTTCATTTTGAGATTGTGCCTTTCAGAGACTCTACAGCCATGAAAATCTGTGAGGTTCTGAAATCCTACCAAAGCATGGACCACACTAGCAGGGATTGCTTTATCTGCTGTGTCCTCTCCCATGGAGACAAGGGCATCATCTATGGCTCTGATGGGCGGGAAGTCCCCATCTATGAGCTGACGTCTTACTTCACTGGCTCAAAGTGCCCTTCCCTTGCAGGCAAGCCCAAAATCTTTTTTATTCAGGCTTGTCAAGGGGATAACTACCAGAAAGGTATAGCTGTTGAGACTGACTCCGAACAGAAGGAAGACTATTTAGAAATGGACTCGTCATGGCAGAAGAGATATATCCCAGAAGATGCTGACTTTCTGCTGGGGATGGCCACTGTGAACAATTGTGTTTCCTACCGAAACCCCATGGAGGGGACCTGGTATATCCAGTCACTTTGCCAGAGCCTAAGAGAAAGATGTCCTAGGTAATTTTTGCCTACTCTGCCCTTCATTCGTTTCTAAATTTCTGGTTATGGATGACATAGCCGTACTTCCCAGGTCTGTTGCAAAGTGGGAGAGGGGGGCAAGTGTTAACATCGTTAGTTCATAGAGACACTTACAGCAGAGTTTCTTTTATTTAGTGCCTGAAAGGACAGTCAGGGTATCGTAGAGCAGGGAGTGATGGTAAAGTCAGTTCAGCTCTGTTTTTAGGCAGAAACATGACTCAGCCAACTCAACTAGTTTTGGAAATCTTCCAACAAGGTCAATGGTTAACATCCTCCAACTCTGTTAAAGTTCTATCATAGCTAATCAACCCTCTTGATATTGCTACAAAGAGTAGAAACCCTTTATATTCCCACTAATTTGGCCTGATGTGAAGCTACAAAATATGGGAAAATATCCCTACCTCATTTATTATACCCTATGCTTCCTTTAGTTAAATGATGGTTTTGTAGTCACAGTTCACCCAAATGCACACATAACTGACAGGTGAATAGCAAGAAATCTTCTAGCTCTATATCTCATCATGCTTTAAGTGTATGAAGAGTAAGAATTTCCCATGGCAGATCGAGGAGTGAAACAACATCAACACCATGTTTTCCTTTTGTAACTTAGACCACGAGTCCTACAGAGGCTGGTGAGAAAGGGGTGGAGTGGTTGGAGGAGACATTGGGTTTTCCCTTGCCCAAAGTGATTGTAGATGATCACAGAAGCAGAGGATGTTTGGGGGGGGGCATTGAGGTGATTATGGGGGCAAGTGGCATAGTACGTGGAAGAGTAAGGTGCAAACAGATCAGGAGGGAAAGAACCCAAATCTAATGTTGACTCAGGTTTCTGACAATCAGCAGAGATCTTGAGTAAACCAAAGGTAAGTTATTAAGCTCTGAAACTACTCCTTTTCCTAGAAAGCTTTGACACGTCTTAGTTTAGCAACTTATGATTGATAATGCCTGGCATTTTGTGGGAAGGAACTGTCACTAACTAAGTAGAGCGAATGAAGGGGTTTGCTGGTATTGTTTCCCCACAGATGGTCACAGTGTTGTTGTTTTTCAGGGGTGAAGATATTCTCACCATCCTTACCGAGGTGAACTTTGAAGTGAGCAATAAGGATGACAGAAAAAACATGGGGAAGCAAATGCCACAACCTACTTTCACACTGAGGAAAAAACTCTTCTTCCCTCCTAATTGATGCTACTGTTTAGCTGTATAACACTATGCTTAATTTATTTGTCAGTAAAATGCTGCTTTTTTTTTTTTTTCTTTTGGATGGCAGGAAGGGGAGAGGATCGGAGTTAGGACAACCTAATTCCTATGCAAATTTAAGCCTAAATCTCTGGCTTTGCAGTAATAGCTAGAGATTTATAGCCCTAGGTAGGATTTTAATTTTATTTTTGATTCGATGAAAAAGTTTTTAAAAACTTAGAGTAGATAAGGAAATATAGAAAGTTTAAAAAACGATGGCAGAATGAATGTTCTTTGCACATCTCTCATCTGCTTCCAGCCTGGAATCATTTGATTCCCTTCAAATTGTTAAGCATTTAAAAAAAAGTTAAGGATATTATGTTAAAGCGTTAACCTGGAACACAGAGTTAATGGTGGTGCAGAGATTTTATAAGGCATAAGAAGGGGAATGAGGAAAGCAATTTCCCACTTGAGGCCTCAGAATAAGTGAATGTTGTTCAAGTACTGGGAGACAAAGTCAAAACCGTAATCCTCCTCCTTTCTGTGAAAGGGCTGATTCCTCATTCCTGGTTCTTATGAGAATTTGTCATATTAACATTCCTGCTAACTGGATGTGCTTCTATGGAGCAGAATGTGAGGTACAATTGTTAAAAGGTACTGTTGGACTTTTTTTTTTAAAGTAAACTCTATCCACCCCCCATCCCTGCCAACCCCCCACTTCACGACATGGGGCTTGAACTCTCAACACCAACGTCAAGAGTCACAAGCTCTATGAACTGAGTCAGCCAGGCACCCCTAAAAGGTATTGTTAAAAAGGAGACAGGGGCACCTGGGTGGCTCAGTCATTAAGTGTCTGCCTTTGGCTCCAGCGTCTGTCATGATCTCAGGGTCCTGGGCTTGAGCCCTGCCTCAGGCATCCTGCTCAGCTGGGAGCCTGCTTCTCCCTCTGCCCTTCACCCCACTTGTGCTCTCTCTCTCTCTCTCTCTCTGTCAAAATCTTAAAAAAAAAAAAAAAAAAAGAGAGAGACAGCAACTCCGAATGGAGTCACTTGTGCTAAACCCCATGTCAGCAAACCAAGACTTAATACCTAACCAAAATGCAGTTTTAATTCCCCAGGAATGTAATTTTTAAGCAGTCAACATGGAATTACCTGGTCAGCACTGGTGAAATAATCTGCCTGATAAACTCCTTCCATTCCCCTTAGGAAAGTGACCTAATGCAATTTGATCCAATCTGATCTTTAAATTTACTCAATTGAATTTCTGTTGTTTAACGGTTTGGAGGGGGATGCCAGTGACCCTCTCTCAAAAGTCACTGAGGGAGATTTTTGTGATCTGACCTAGCTAAAAAAACCCCTCATGTGTAATGCTCCTACATCCAACCTGATGTCTTCTGATGTATGTGACAGGCAATCCCAGAAACACCTGAGCCCCCTCTCCTAAGCTACGAGGAGACCTTGTTTCAGTGGTAAAAGACACCCTAACTCTGTTTAGATTTAGATCTCACAAAATCCAGGAATTAGTTTCCTTGTTCTTATTATTTATAAGTACAATTAAATCCATATTTGAAAGGACATGTTAATAGCTCATTAACTTTATCTTTTTGTACTTCCAGTCTCTCCCTTTCCAAGCCATCCTCTACACTAATTTATAATTTTTTTAAAAAAAATATAAGTTTCAAGATGTTATTTCTTATGTTAAAACTTTTAACAGCCTTTTCTCTTATTATTTGCTTCTATATAATCAATACCCGATTTGCTTTTTTGCTAGTGATACCATTCTTGCCATTGCATTTTGTTTCTTTATGTATTTAGTTCATTCTCAATCTGCATGAATGTCTTTTTTTAAAAGATGCTTTTTTTAAAAGAATATTTTTTCAATAATTTTTTTAATAATATTTTTAATAGAAAATAGAATTTTAACTTACTGTTACTTAGAGATTGTTTTTGTTAGTATTGTTTTTATTTACCATTAGTGTCTCACAGGTGGAAAACATTTGGATCATATAGTCTCTCAATGCTGGGTCACTCAGTTGTATTTTTTATTGTTATGTTAATCACCATACATCATTAGTTTTGGATGTAGTGTTCCATGATTCATTGTTTGTGCATAACACCCAGGGCTCCATTGGGACATATTACATAAAAAAACAGTACTGGGGTGTCTGGTGGTTCACTGGTTAAGACTCTGCCTTTGGCTCAGGTCATGGTCCCAGGGTCCTGGGATCGAGCCCTGCATCAGGTCTCTGCTCAGCGGGAAGCCTGCTTCTCCCTCTCCCACTCCCCCTGCATGTGTTCCCTTTCTCGCTGTGTCTCTCTCTGTCAAATAAAGAAAATCTTAAAAAAACCCAAAAAACCCACAATACTTTCTTTTGAAAAATCAGAATATCTGACCACATCGATCCCATGCTCTTGTGTGGCAGCACTGGAATGGGTCCACCCCGCTCAATCCCCTACATTTAGGCTGCTGCCAATTACCATTGATCACCGTGCTTGTTTGTGTGGTTATTTTTCCTTATGTCCAGGCCACTTCACTTACTTATATTGCCTGCACTGTGGGGATTTGAATTCTGGTGATTATTTAGAGAAGGTGGCAAGAATCATCAGAAACTTTTCCCAAATCATAGTTATAGGGAAGATGATTGAGAAGTGGAGCAGTGGGGACACACATAAGAGAAAAGGTTTTTGGAATTGAATCGATAAATTATCATTCTTGCTAGCTAAATGCCCCTGGGGGACAAAAGCTAAATTTCAAAGTACAGTCAACATTTAATAGGGAGAAGTTCTTCAGATTAGTGTTTTCATAACGAAATACATAAATGTGGAAGAGAAAATAGTACAATGCCCAGAGAAAGCTCAGATCCAGATACAGAGAACATCACCTTTCATTGAAGAGTCTTGAAAATCTGTATAATTGAGATGAGAATTCAAACATTCCCAACCACTTAGAAGAAAGCAAATTGTGAAAAGACAAAAGTAGAACCAAGGCAACCCAGGAACTAAACTCATAATACACATTTCTCAAGAAAACCTCACCAGAGTTCTCAAAGTCTACAGAGATGGTGTTCCTACCATCTTTTGTACTGGAGAACAACTTTTCTGCTCACAATTCTTGTTTTTCATTTTTGTCATCTTCTAAAGTGTCAGAATCATCCTCATAAATAGAGGTTGACCTCCCAGATCGTTCTTCATAAATTTCTTCATTCTTGGCAATTATTTTTTGCCTATAAAGAGAAGATGTATCACTATAGACTCAAAGGGTAGAAGGGCCTCTAGGATATGTGGGGGGAGAGAAATATGGTTTCATTCCTTCACTGGGGGAAGTCGCACACGTTACTTGCAGTGGTTTTGAATTTAGTGAGATATGTTTATGTTACCAAATTCCCAGATGAGGAATATTCTTCTGAGGGGAAACAGACTATGCCACCCAAAATATGCTACTTTGCATATTGATTAGTTTGAACTACAGTTAGTTAAGCCAACAACCAGTACAAGAAAGATACTCTGACCCTCCTTTGTCCCCCTGAAAGCAGGAAATAAAAGTACCCTCCCTATACCAGAAGGTAAAGAGACATCCTTATCACCAGAAATAGGGAATTTAGGGCTGAGGAGGCTGTATAAACATACCTTGTTACTTCCTCCCTAATTTACTACCCCGAGCCCAAACTCCTTTGTCTTGTCAATTCTTTACAGATTTATTGTCTTTTTGTCTAAAAGGTATAAAAGCTGCCCACTTTGGTCACTTCTTTGGGTCTCATATTTTCATGTGCTCCTGTACATTCAAAATTTAATTTGTTTTTCTCCTGTTAATCTGTCTCATGTCAATTTGACTATTAGACCAAACAACCTACAAGGGAAGAAGGGAAAAGCTTTACTCTCCTATACCACCAAATCAGTGCAATGAATCACTTGCCTTTATTAAAATATTGACCAAAATTTATCTCAGTCATTTAAAATGCATCTTCAGGTAACAGTATAATTTCTGACCTAAAGTTGATTTCCACAGGAACTAAATGCAGCTGTATCTAAGTGTAAAGCACTGACACCTAAACCCCTAAACTCTCAGGGGACATGGTAAAAACTCGGAGCTCACATGTGTTATCATGACAGTCTCCAATCATTCATTCAACAAGTATTTATTATATATCTACTATGGATTCCGAGCATAGGACATTCTGGAAAAGGCAAGACTACAGAGACACTGAAAAGATCAGTAATTGCCGGGAGTTGGGAGGGGAAGCCAAGCATGAATAGGTGGAGGGCAGAGGACTTTAGGGATTTAAAATATATTCACAGAACTGAATAAACACAGAGACCCTCAGATAAATTTCCTGTGCCATTCTGCATTAAAACTAAGATGTAGGTAAGAGAGAGGAGTCTAGACACATTCCCAACACCACTTCAGATGAACTGTCTGACCTTCGCAGGTGATTTCTGTGGCCCGGCTCTGAGTATCTCCCTCCTGAAAGTCCCTGTGCCTTGACCTTATCAGGGAATACCTGGGTTCATCTTCATCTATTCCTCACCCAAACTCCCTCCCACTTTCTAAGGATAACTCAGCCATATCTTTTTGAGCAGCGTCCTTCATACCTTAGATGAATGTTTTCTTCTGTCAGAAGCTGTATGGTATATTTAAACTTTTCTTCAGCTTCAGCAAGCTTGATCTGGAACATTTTCTCCAGATTTCCCACTGTAGCTTTCTGAAGGACATATAAATTTTAATAGCCATCTTTCCTAAACCAGAGTCACCCAGAGCAGAGCTGCCCAGAGACCTGGATTCCTCTGCACAACCCCCATCCCCACTCCAGCCAGGACTTGCCTCTCTCTGAAGTTCCATCTGGGTTTGGTAGAGGGTTGTGTTAAGTGTTTCTAGGATAACAGCTTGTGTATTCAACTCTTCCTCCATGACCTGTGTAAGAAGAAACTTTCAGGACAACATGACAATATCTACCCATTTATTCTCTTCTGCAGGACACCTGGACTAGAAGGTGAATCATCAACTTTACCAGCTCTTTACACTGTTCAGTCACTTCACCCTGTTAATTCTACCTCCTGTATGTCTTGCCCATCTATACGCCCCTCTGCAGACTCACTATCACTGTCTCAGATCCAGCCCTCACCGGGGCTCGCATGGGTTGTCACAATAGCTACCAATCACTCATTCATTAAACAAATACTTATTATTGGAAAAGGCAAAACTACAGAGACAGTAAAAAGAGGAGTGATTGCCAGGGGTTGGGAGGGGAAGCAAGGGATAAATAGGTGGAGGACAGAGGACATTTAGGCAAAGAAACTACTCTGTATGATATTGCAATGGTACATGGCATGCTGCATTTGATGCATTCGACAAAACCTATAGAATGTATAACACAAAGAGTGAACCCTAATGTAAACTATGGACTTTAGTTAAAAGGGATGTATCCATAATGGTTCATCAACTGTAACAAAAGTAACACAGTAATGTAAGACATTAATAATAGAGAAAATTGTATGTTTGTGTTGGGGGAGGATATAAGGAATCCCTATACTTTCTGCTTACTTTTTTAGTAAACCTAATACTGCTCTAAAAAAAATAGTCTCTTAATTAGGAAAAAAACCCTCCTGTTGTAGGCACCAGGAGTATTATGATGAACAAGAAAAATATAATTCCTACTCTTATGGATGTACATTCTAGTGAGGGGGATGGAAAAATTAAATAAAGTTAATAATTACAATAATAAATTTAAAACAAACCAAGGATAAGATAGAAGATGCAGTGTAAGTGCAGGGAAGGGACAAATGTGGAATCTATGTTAGATAGATGCTGAAGAGACTAAAAGAATGAACCAGATGGGTCTCTGCTTTCAGGTGTCAGCTCTGTTTAACTCCTACATGTCCTCAGAGCTCTTCCCATGGGATAAGCATCCTCCCAAGATGTATAGACTAGAGACGTACCATCACTTACTGCAACCACATTGTACAAAGCACTGTACCAACTCACTTAGCATTCTTTTATTCACTTATTCACTCAAAAAATCAATTGGTAGCCACTGTATGTCTTGATGTGCCAGGCATGTTCTAGAAACTGGAGATTAGTGGTAGAGAAAACAGACAAAAATCTCTGCCTTCATTGAGTCTATCAGGTTAGACAATTATAAATCTGTATAGAAAAATAAAACAGGGAAAAGGAAGTGTTGGGTGGGTTGGTAAGCCTTTAAATAGAGTGGCCCCTCAGAAGTGGCATCTAAGCAAGGAACAGAAAGAGGTAAGGAAGTTAGTCATGTGGATATCTGGGAAACAGCTTCCTAGGAAGAGAGAATGCCAACTGCAAAGACCTCAAAGTAGAGGATCCTGGTGTGTTAAAAAAACAGCAAGGGGTCCAGTGCCACTGGGGTAGCATGATGGAGGAGAAGATGTAGAAGGAGGTGAGGATGGGGGAAAGAACCACGAGCATGGAGCAGGTAGAACAATCCCCAGGGTCAACACAGGACTGGGAATAGTTATATTCCCACAAGCTAGAGTACACAGAGTATTGGGTAGACTACTCAAAAGGGTATTATCTCTCTGTGTGTGGGGGATTAGCCTTAGACCAAAGACTGCTTTAATTCTGCCTTACAAAGCTTAAAGGTAAGGCTTGAAAATATCAAACTGTTTCTAGGTAACTTAATGGCTTCCCAGAACAAAGTACAACTATATTTAAAGGAATACAAAGATATTCAGCACCCAAAAAGTTAAACTTCACAATGGCGGTTGTCCAATAAAAAAATCACCAGGCATGCAAATAAGCGAGAAAATATGGCCACAAATGAGGAGCAAAGTCAATTAATAGAAACAGATCCAGAAAGGAATGACAGAATTAGAAGACAAGCTCAATAAAGCACTGGGTCTTCCTTGTTCCTTGTTTTGACCTATCCCTCTTCCATGCAGGGCACTGAGGTCTGTTTACCCAACAATGATGAAGCGTTGCCTAATCTCTGAGATATCATTCCACAATTTTATAACGGCTAGTGTTTTCCCAAACATGTCCATTCTGGATCCAGGTTAAATTCTCTGTGAAAGAAAACCACAAGGGGGTTCATGGGTTTGAACATTTTCCCTTCAGGTGTCTTCCACATGGAAGTGCCATAATTTGTCCCAGAAGAACAGAATTCTTTGAAGAAACTGTTGGACATGAGGCACACTCAGAATTCTAAGGAGAGGCTTGGAGTTAGAGTTCCCAGAGGCAGTATTGTAATTTTTAGAGCTTAAAGGAAGAATTTGGTATTTCAGAAGTCAAGACTCTTGTGGTTTGAGCCTTACCAGAAATGGAAGGCATTTGACACTGAAGATCACAAGCATATTGCTTATATATTTCTTCAAATCACTCTAAAAAGATGCTAAGGGCTTTGTTTTACAGATGACTTTGTATTATAGTTCTAAAGCTCTTTTTGACCTGTTGAATCCAGCAAACTCAGCTTTAGATACCCTCCCACCCTTTTTTTTTGGTTTTGGAAAATTATTATAGATTCCATTTTATTGGGAGTACATAATTTTATTGATGCATTTGTAAGATGCTAATTCCACAGGAAAAATGAAAAACTTACCTGTTTGGTCTTTCTTAGCTCCTCTAATTGTAAGGTATCCTTTTCATGTTGTTTCAGTAGCTCCTAAAAATAATTTTATTTGGAAAGGGTCAACACTGGGGTTTCTAGTACTTCTTTCAGAGAATTAAGAAAGCCAGAATAGGATTCTGGAATATCATATTCACCAAAGTTTAGATATTGGTATAATGAAGCACACATTATAAACTAATGAGATGACATGTTGAAGTTAAATTTTGAAAATCTTACTTATGTGCAACCTTGGTAGGGTTACTATTGTTGAATATTGTTGACATTGTTGAATATTCTGTTCTGCCACAGATCTTTATATTCAGTACAATCCCAGTCAGAATACTTTCTTGACAAACTAATTCTGAAATTTATATAGAAATGTAAGTGATATAGGAGAGCCAAAACAACCTTGAAAAACAAGAGCAAAACTGGATTTTTACTCCCTGATTTCAAACTATAGTAATTGAGACAATGGTTGTCTTGACCTAGGTATGGACAAAGAGTTCAATGGAATAGCATGGAACAACTAGATATCTATACAGAAAAAAATGGCCTATGACCTCTACCTCACTCCATACATAAAAATTATTCAAAATGGATCATAGAGGGACGCCTGGGTGGCTCAGTCGGTTAAGCATCTGCCTTCGGCTCAGGTCATGATCCCAGGGTCTTGGGATCGAGCACTGTGTTGGGCTCCTTGCTCAGCAGGGAGCCTACTTCTCCCTCTACCCCTCCCTCCACTCATGCACGTGCTCTCTCTCTCTCAAATAAATAAATAAATAAATAAATAAATAAAATCTTTAAAAAGAAAACAAAACAAAATGGATCATAGAATAATAAAAACTAAAATTATAAAGCTTTTTTTTTTTAGAATAGAAGATCTTTAAAAAATATAAAAATAAATAAAATAGAAGATCTTTGTATTCCTGGACTAGGCAACAATTTCATAGAAAGGACACAAAAAGCTGTAACTTTCCTTTAAAAAGGAAAAAATTAATAATTTGGTTTTCATCAAAATAAAAAACTTCTGCACATCAAAAGATAACATGAGCAAAATGAAGAGGCAAACTACAGGCTAGGAGACTGTGTTTGTGACACATGTACCTAACAAGGAACTTGTTACAGTACATAAAGTACTCCTACGTATCAATAATAAAAAGATAAACAATCTAAGTTTTTTCAAATGACAAAAGACTTGAACCAGCATTTCACAAAAGAAGACATATAAGTTGTCTGATAAGCATATAAAAAATTGCCCAACATAATTAGTCACCAGGGAAACTAAAACTACAATGGAATATCACTTCATACCCATTGGAAGGGTCAAAATTAAAAGGATGCCAACACTAGTTGCTGATGATGTGGAGCAACTGGAATTCTCATGTTTAAGATGCAAGAGTAAAATGGCACAGCTACTGTGGAAAGTGGCTTGGCAATTTCTTTCTTTCTTTTTCTTTTTTTTAAAGATTTTATTTATTCATTTGAGACAGATAAAGAGAAAGAGAGCATGAGCAGGGGAAGAGGCAGAGGGAGAGGGAGAAGCAGACTCTTCGCTAAGCAGGGAGCTGGACGTGGGGCTTGATCCCGGCACCCTGAGATCATGACCTGAGTTGAAGGCAGACGCTTAACCATCTGAGCCACCCAGGTGCCCTGGCTTGGCAATTTCTTATAAAGTTAAATCTATAACTACCCTAGAAACCAATAACAACACTGCTAGGTATACACCCAAAGGAAATGAAAAATTGTGTCTACAGAAATACTTGTACAAGGGTGTTTACAAAACCTTTATAAAATAGGGAGGACAACAAATGGAAACAAACTAAACCTCCAAAAACAGGAAAATGGTAAACACATTGTGGGATATTCCTACAAAGGGATGCTAATGGGCAATAAAAAGTAAGAAATTACTGATATAAACAACAAATGGATAAATTTCACAGACATTGTGTTGAGGAAAAAGAAGCTATATACAAAAGAGCATATACTGCATGATTCCATTTATATGGAGCTTAAAAACAGGTAAAACTAATCTATGGTGGTAGGAATCAAAATAGTGGTTGTCTTGGGGCAAGTTTTGAGGGAGAGAGGGCTTAACTGGGAAGGAATACAAGAGCGATTTCTGGGTTGATAAAATGCTCTAGATCTTTACTTGGGTGTTGGTTACATAGATAGGTACATTTGTCAAAACTCATCAAACTGTATACTTACGATCTGTGCATTTTGTTAATTGTAAACTATACTCTCATGAGAAAGAGAGTGAGACACAGAGCAGCATTTACAGATTTATAGTCAGCATCACTGGAGAGAAAATAGGAGAGAGGAAAGGATGCATGCAGATGATCAAATCTCTCCCCACTAGAGGAATTGCTCCTCCTTATTCAGATGTCTGAGCCCTCCAGACCCCAGAAGCGCTAGCCACACTGCATAGCATGCCCCATATCCTCATTACTGTCTTGCGCAGTTATAGTGAATGCCAGAAATGGGATTTGACTGGTGAAATTAGTGGTTTTTAATTAGCATGATGATTGGAAATGGGCTCTTAAAAATGGAATATTCAAGGTAGATACTATTTTAGAGACATGGTCCACTTTGCAGGAAAAGAGTACAGGAATCTAACAAAACCTGTAGGCTGCGCACTCAGGAATGGCATCTAAGACTTGACTCCTAGATGGTCCTAGGCTTAGGAGGTGCCCCGACTGCCTGAGGCTGACTCCAGGAGTTGCAGAATCCTATCCCTGTCATGCCTTTGCAGATAACTCCGATGAATCTTTCATGGACCGAAAAGCTCAGAGAGCTGGTGGTATAAGCACTTGGGGCCTGCTTGCTAATGCAGGTTTGTTTAGTAAATGCCCATATGTCTGAGACCTGCTTTCACGATGACCTGGTAGCAGTATCAAGGTGGTGGGGGAGTGATGAACAGGAGTAGCTCACCCTCACCCCCTCTAACTTTGAGGTAGCTCCTCTTATTTACTCAGAGCTGTACATGACCAAACTTGCTTAGTTTAGTTTGCTCCACTGCCCTTTCTCTTCAGCTCCAGTCAAGGATGAGGAGGAGCATTCAGAGACTGGGGTTTGGGCAAAATAGGGAATTCCGGGTTCTGTATGTGTTTAGCATTCTATTATTCCCCGTTAATTCAAATTTTCATTCCACCATGACCCTGTGGTAAGACTGTCTAGATAAGGACAGCAAGACTGCCGGTCCGCTTGGGTACATTTCCAGGGAAGCTGGGAAAGGAGGAATACGCCCATAAAGACAAAAAGCTCGCCTAATTACAGAGACACCCCTGGGACCCGGATGTCTCAGCGAGGCTGCACCTTCAACCCCTCACGTGCATGGGGCCTAAGTTACCTCCTTCTCTCGAATGAAGTTCTCAAAGATGGCACTGTAGGAATCATTTATTTTCTTCTTTTCTTCTATTGACTCTAACTCAAACTTTTTTGTCATTTTATGTTCTGTGGAGGTGAGAAGAAATTACACGTATGAGGAAATGTGGGGAAAGCAGATGCGAGGGAAACTCCAAATGTTTGAAGATAATAGAAATTCTGGACTGGGTCAAACTCAAGGTCCTTTCAGCCTGGCGTTCGGCTTCTGACATTTACCTGGAGATGTGTGAGAGTCAGGTGAACATGGCACTGGTTTTCAGGGATGTCGGTCATATGGGACTTGCCCCATGTCTCTGATTTTTCTGTGTATGTGTAATTTATTTTAGATCTCTTGATTATTATTTTGTCCATTCTCACCGCCGAAGTAACCAGTATGCTTTCTTCAATATCCTTACCTTAAAATACAGCTCTTGGCTAATGTGATGCCTCCAGCATAAATATTTATTCTGTACTTAGCCCTGGGGTAGAGAGAGGCTTAAACTGTTTCTGGTACAGGGGAGCTTGCCAACAGAGGCCCAATACCAAACAGGGGGTAGTAGGGGGTGGCTGACACAAATTTCTTCTGCAGCCTCATGGTGGTGGGGATGGATAGGGAGGCAACCTCTAGGCTCACAGGATGGGTCTGGGCTGAGCTATGCTGTGCACAGCTAAAATCTGCTTTTTCAAAACTGAGTGAACATCTTTTTTTTTTTTTAAGATTTTATTTCTTTATGTGACAGAGAGAGACACAGGGAGAGAGGGAACACAAGCAGGGGGAGTGGGAGAGGGAGAAGCAGGCTTCCCGCGGAGCAGGGAGCCCAACGCGGGCCTTGATCCCAGGGTCCTGGGATCATGACCTGAGCTGAAGGCAGACGCTTAACAACTGAGCCACCCAGCCGCCCCCTGAGTGAACATCTTAACTTAGATTTTGACAACATGGAGTGAGTATAGTATGGGAAGCTCGAAGTCTGGAAGAAGACAGGGTCCCGCCATACCAGGGTCCTAGCTAAAGCCTCAAATAGGTGCAGCTCCGCATTCCTTCCCTCAGCTTAATGCCAGGGTCTTCACGCTGCCTCTGGCAGTCAGAGTCCCCAGTGGGGTGGGAATGGCCTTGAGGATCAACTTCCCCAGGGGGTTTCTGCATTTAAATGAGTAATTTGTTGAAATCAAACAAATCTGATACGAACTGGGTTGAGGCAGGATGTGGTATAGGTTTGTAGAGGCCCTGCTCCTACCTCAACCAGTCCTCTAGGTCAGGGAGCAGAGTCTCCGTAAATTCCTCTCTCCTTTTTCCATTTATGAAGATGCTCGGTGTGGGTAGAAGGCTCATCTATAAATCACTTTCTATGATCCAACCTCTGTGCTGGGTGTTGGAAATATTAAAAATATAAAGTAATATATAAATGGATCAAATCAACATGTTGTACATTTTAAACATATGCAATGTTATATGTCAATTGTATCTCAAAGATTGAGATCCTTTTTGCGGGGGGGTGTGGGAATCCAGAGGCTCTCAGTATAATGGATTGTGTTGTCCCTCCCCCAACAAGTGAATATTTGAAACTCTAATTCAAGAACATCTTTTATGGAACTTTGGGGTCACTTGTATCCAGGTAACAAGTCAGCACTCCTACAGATGTCCCAGAGCTTGTTCCAGCACGTGATGGCCAAACTTGGAACGAGTGAGCTTTGGAAGGTACAGGCCTAGACCCTCAAGTGGCTGAACTTTATAAAGACTCCACCCTTGTTGTCACTTTCTTGAAAACTCCATGCACTTCTGATTCAGGAGTCCAGCCATGTGGCCATCACCCTTAGTGGATCCAAGGCTGCCTTTCTAGTTGAGACCAAACTTAATGGCAGGTTTTTTTGGTCCACGTGCCATCAAAAAGACAGAAATTTCTGTACTCACTTTGCTGTAGCAGGATCTTTTCCCGCTCCAACTTCTCCTCCTTTTCCCATTCTGCCTTCTTCTTCGACCACTTGTCCTCCATTTCATCATAAACGCTGTCCTGTGGAGGCACAAAGGCACCATGAAGAAAAGGGTCCTGAAAAAGGCTGCACACCAGCTCCAGGCACAGCATGGGGCCCTTTGCAGCTTCCCTCACCTGGAATGCCTGCTAGGAGTCCCTCTGTGGGTGGCTGGTGGCAGCAAATTCTAGCCCAGCCCACCTGCGAGCCTGCAGAACCCTCAAAGTCAAGGGCAAGCTCTGCCTGGTGTTTGTCCCACTGGAACTGGGTTTTCTTTGAGGACAGGTAGGATTCTCCTGTCGAAGAGTCACATGTCAGCTCCCTGCATCATCAATCACTCATCAGTAGCCCATGGAGAAACAAGGGAAATGCCTAGTAGTTAATTTGAACACTTAGAAAACAATGGCATGATTTTCCAGAGTGTGTTTATTTTTCCTCAGAAAATCCAGCTTCCTTTGTGGTTGAGGTTAAATAAGCCTAACCTGATGCCAGTCCTATTGGTTGGCTCAGACTTCATGGGAGTGGGACGTCAGGAGGAAGAAGGCCTAGAACCTGGATGCTGCCAGTAAGGTCCCAGGACCCTGACCCCCTTTCTTCCAGCTTAGCAGTACAATTCACACTGGGGCCAGGCATCAGAGCTCTTGCTTGTGGCCATTTAGATAAAGTTTCTCTCTCATCATTTTCAAGACTCGTGGGCAGATAGAGGTCAAACTCTCTGGAGAGGTCCAGACTGAAGCAAACATTAAGGCCTACCTAGGAAATTGGGGCATCAACCTGATGCTTCTCTTAGGCTTTGCTCTATGATGTCTTCCCTGACTGTATCAAGATACATCTTGAAAAACAAGTTTTAGATAGAAGCCCAGAAGTGAAACTGTGGTAAATAGAATTTCAGAGGTGGTGCTGGTGCTTAACTTGGTTTTCTCCTTTTATAGGGTGGTTAACTGTCCTTGTTTGTTTGAGACTAATGTGTGTCCTGGGTCTCTGAACATTCAGTGCTAAAATCTGGAAAGTCCCAGGCAAACCATGACCAGCTGGTCACAATAGGATGGGGGTTTGCTGCTTCAGCCTGTCCTGTCCGTTCCTCTCCTCTCCACTCTCTCACCCTCCTAGGAAGAAATCACGGCCTGTTTCCCTGCGGCTCCATCAGATTAACCGATTTAAATGAATGAGTTATATTCTGAGATGGCCAGAGCACCCCATGCTCTGCTTGTGGGGGGTGCAGTGAGAGAGTCTTTTTGGATGGTAATTTGGCCAAATGTGTCAAAGGCCTTTAAAATGTTTATCCCTTTTGACCCAGCACTCCACTAAAATCAAAGGTGTTACCAAGTACAAACACTAAGAGTGGTTGTCTTGGGGTGGTGATTATTCTTTCTTTTTTGTTGCTGTTGTTGTGGTTGGTTTTTGTATTTCCATTTTCTAAAAAACAATGAGCAGGTATGACTTTTGTAATCACAAACATATTTTTCAATGGGCTTCTTTGGCGTCTGAGAGACTGACTTGTCACACATGGAAACCACCACAGTCCACAGTTCACTCTTCTCCCTGGGTGTACTCAGTGTTACCTAGGTCCAAGGATGCTGGGAATCTCAGGACATGATTTTCTGGGCAAGAGTTCTAGACTTAGCCCACTGTCATCAGCCAGGAATGAGCCTTGCCTCTCTTCCTTTCATAATCCACCAAGGAGCTCTGAATCTCACCTGATACATATGAAACATATTCTTCAAATACTTATATTCCTTTTCCATCTCATCTGGACAAAAGGAAAACAACAGGGTCATCATTATTCCTCTGAATTGCATGTTTTCAAAGTCAAGTATGAGCTCTCCTGTATACCTTTTCCACCTCAAACTCATCCTCTACGTGTTAAAACCATCTTGTACCTATGAAATCACTCTGGAAGCTTATTAGAAATCCAAATGCCTGTGCTGCCCACCCCCCACCCCGGCCAAACCTACTGAATTTTGGTCTCAGAGGCCCAATATCTGTTGATAATATGCTTTTTAGGTGATACTGATGCACACCAAATGTGAGAACTAATCCCTGGGGGGAAAAGAGGCGCGAAACTTTGTAGCATGCATCTGCTTCTCTCTTTTTAAAATAATGTTTCCTAGCATACATTGATTTTGAAAATGATAAATGTTCTCTTTAGAAAATTGGAAAATCAGCAAGCTATAAATATCATCTTTTAAAAATGTAAGGCAAAGGAAAGAGAGAAGATTATAGAATTTCTCCTTCTCCCTGTAGAGATTAGTCTATAACCTCAGAATTCTGAAGGATATACACTTTGCCCTTCCCAAGGGGAGCATAAATAATGGGATAAACGGCCAACACAACCCTAATGTATTGTAACATTCATAGTGTGTCCATTAAAATATAATGAAACACCATAATTTTACAGGTGAGGTAACTTGCTGAATTATAATAGTATATTTATAGAATTAAAAAATATATTTTAAAAAGTGCTTTCACAATCTTATCTCTCTGATGGAGGCAGGTATTATTGTTCTCAATTCTTAGATGGGATAAATGAGATTAAGGGGCTTGCTCAGATCCCAACACTTGGTCACAGGCCAGTCTATCTCCTGGGTGTAGGAAGGACATTGGTGACATGGTTTCCCTCTTTGCAGTTTCATTCTCAGTCACTCCCCTTCCCTGAGCTTTAGAAGGACATCTGGAAAGCTTGGCCACAGCCCATCCACCGCCATGGTCAGTCTCTCGCCCTTCACCAGGGTCATTCTCCCCAGCCCAGACAGTACCTAGTTTTTCTTGGGCAGCCAGCTTCTCTGCCTTCAATGATGCTTTGTAGTTGTTCTCCAACTGACTGAGCTCTGTTGCGTGAGCCTCTTTGAGCGCCCTGTGTGACCCGGGGAAAAGGCTACAATCATCAATCCGTGAAAAGAAGTCCAGAGCTGAGCCGTTACACTCAGTGGATCCTACTCTCACATAGGAAGCTGCGGGCAGCCTGCAGGGCACTCGCTTCCTCATGCGTTTCCCCTGGCATCCACCCAGAAAAAGGTGAGAAGACTGGTTTTTACCAACCATTATTTGAACGGAGCCAGGGGGGCCATGACTCCTTGCTAAGAGCACAGTCTTTGCTTATGGCTGTCTTGGGAATCTGTGGGCTGTGTTAGCGTCCAGGATAATTTTAGAGCCCAAAGTCTCTCTCTCTTTTTAAAGATTTATTTATTTATTTGGGGGGAGGTGCGGAGCAGTGAGAGAGGGAGAGAGAGAATCCCAAGCAGACTCCCCACTGAGCCCAGAGCTTGGAGCAGGGCTCGATCCCACCACGCCAAGAGCATGACCCCAGCTGAAAGCAAGTCAGTCGCTTAACTGATGGAGCCACCCAGGTGCCCCGGGCCCAAGGTCTCTTTAACCTCCATTCCAGGAGGCAGAAGCTGGCAGTGTTCAAGTTGAGGGAAGTGAGAGGCTATCTGAGCGGCCAAGCCAAGAGAAGACATGGAGGAACATGAGATGCATATTAGTAAGTGGCCAAAGCCAATCCACAAAGCCTACCTACTGTACAACTCCAGCTATATGACATTCTGGATAAGGCACAGCTATGGAGGCAGTAAAAGGATCAGTGGTGGCCAGGGGCTACTGGGGAGGGAGGGATGAATGGGCAGAGCACAGAGGATCTTTAGGGCAGTGAAAATACTCTGTATGATCCAATAACGGTGGACACTGTCAATATACATTTGTCAAAACCCATAGAGTATACAACACCAAGAGTGAACCCTAATGTAAACTACGAACTTTGGGTGATAATAATGCACCCATGTAGGTTCATCAGCTGTAACAAAGGCACCAGAGGGGTGCAGGAAGATTACTCAGCTTGTGGGAGTGTGGGCTCAGGCTGTCTATGGCGATTCTTTGTACTTTATGTTCTATTTTACTATGAGCCTTAAATTGCTCTGAAAAAATAATGAAATCTATTATAAAACAAAGAAGTTACTCATTATTTTTTGAAAGCAAGGCTATGACTCAACCATGTGTACTTCTTTCCACCAGGACTCCTGAGGCGGCTCCGGTGCCCAGCATGTGGGGGCTTTGTAGGTTTCCTCTCCCACAAGACAATACACCTCCTTTTACTTCCCCTCGGCTTGTCTTTGTGACTCTGCTGCCCCTCCCATACCTTCTTCCCATTCTGCCCATATCCCAGGAGCAGCCAAGGAAAGTAGAGATGACAGGACAAAAAAAAAAAAAAAAAGAGAAAGAGGGGGAGGAAGTAGAGAGGCAGGGGAAATGGGAGGAGGTGCCTAGGCTGAGAACATCAGTTGTTTACCACAGAACTCTCATAGAGAACAAAAAATGGCTCTCCTCAGCAATCACCAAAAAAAAAAAAAAAAGGGAGATTATAATTGAAAGGAAGTGATGGGATGAGAAAGTGCAACGCCAGGAACAACCTTCTCTGGGCTACATTTGGGTGGCTTCAAATCAAACCGTCCTGCCCATTTCCCCCACCTGTGCCCACCCAGCTCCACTTGGCACCGTCTGAAATCCCAGTGAATTGACATCCCTCCCACAGGGAAGCAGAAGCCTTAGGGCTTGTCCAGAAAGCATACTTGTTCTTGTTTTCGAAGTTCTCCTGCATCTCAGCACAGTGGAGAGCCATTTCATCGGAGAGCTGGAAACAAGGCTGGCATTAACAATATAGGATGGAAGATCCCACTCCCACGCAAGCTGCAATTTCTGAGAAGCCTTCCCATTCATGGGGTATGCCCTACCCCTGTTTGTGTTCGGCAGTCCCAGAGAGCACATCGCTACTGAAGGGCAGGCCTGCTGGGAAGTGACCTTCACAAGTGAGTTTCAATAACCACAGGCAAGTGGGGCATAGGGGAGGCTGTTTTTGAGCATTGCTCAGGTTTATCTCTCCAGCCCAGGCCAGCAGGCACTCCTGCTTGAGGTGGGGAAGAAGAGACTGTTATTAAACAGATGGTAAAATCTAAAGGAAGTGTCACCAAAATCCCCAGGAAACACGGAGGGTGCAAGCTTACATCAGCAGATTCCAAAGTAGGCTTTGGCAATTTTAACAGCAACAGGAAGTGGGTACTGAAGCCTTCTGGGCAGCTTTTGGACCACGGTGGATGCATTAACCACACTGTTGCCATGAGGAAGAGCCTTAGCACTCTCTGAAGTTTAGCCACAGCAAGCCCAAGGGGAAATGGCCGGCACCCCCTGGTGTGGTGAGTTTGTGGCAATGAACACACTGGAAGCACCTGAAGAACTCCTGGAAATTGAGTTAGCTCCCACGAGTAAAGTGCGTGGTGTCTTGCCTGGAACATAGCAGCTGATCTGAAAAAGCTGGTGTTTCCCCCACCCATAGAGATGTCAGCTAACTCAAGGATCACTCACCAATTTCTGGGCAGACAGATGGTCTCTGTTCATTTGCTCAATGATCACGGTCAGCTCTGAGATCTGCTCTTCGAGGTCAGTAATGATATCAGTCCTACAGGACAAATCATCCTTCCATCACCCACAGAGTTTCCATCCCGTGCCAGTCAGGCACCTCCTTGTCTGTGACTGTCTCTGGCAGGGAGCCAGGTGAGAGCCAGGCCATGTTCTACACTGGCTGCATCATCATGGGGGTGGGGGCCAGGGTGGAAGGGTAGTCTGGGAGAGGGAATCGGGCGGCAGGGTGGTTGAGCCTCAGACCCAGCCCTTTTGGGTAGGCTAGCCTCAAGTGGGGGGAGGGGTAGTAGGGTGGAGGAGCGGATTGGTTACCTGTTGAATAGAAAGGAAAATGTCAGAAATCTGTGAGGGTTTGACTTTGATTCAGTAATGACAGTTGAAATGGAAGAGGAAGAATTCTGGGGATTGGGAAATGGGAAGGTGGGGGATGGGATCGAGGCTGACAGTGAATCATAGACAAGGAATTGTTCAGACACAGGATGAAGAGGGGATTTCAGAGCATGGCTTTCAGAATAGATAACGACTGTTCTGCGTTTCCGGGTCTGAAGCCTCCATGATGTCTGGAACTTATTTAGCTCTACTTGGTTGAGCTGCAGTGGACAGAGCAGCGGGCGGTGCTGTGTGTGGGGCAGCAGAGGTGAGGTCCTCCATTCAAGAGGGCGAGGAAACGAGAGAGGATGTAGGAGGAGATAGGGAGGGAGAGACATGAATGAGAGATCTAGGAGTTAGAATGGAAAAACACGTGAGAACTGACTTTCTATGGCATTGGAGGATCGAGTGGGTAGGGCCTGAATGACAGAGAGGATGGCACTGGGGGGGACTCAGCCAGAGTCTTCCACACTGTGCCTCCCAGAAGCATGAACTAAGTGATCTTTGGGCATAATGAGTAAGAGATGCATCTCAGCCCCCAGAAACCCTGACTTTACTCTGACTTTTCACCTTCCAAATTCAGACTATACTATTTTATGAATATTTCATCTGTTCATCGCTCTAGGAACAATTGCTTTCCTTTAGTACAAACTATACTACACCCGGTCATTTTCCAGATCAGCTTCCTGATTTGACCTTCATCCTGTCTCTAATGGGATCAGGCAGAGAGGTGGGCGTGGAGAGGAGCTCATGGGGATGAGGAGTGAAGTGACCTTGCACTACCTTCAGAACAGGGACTCGGTGGACTGGGCATGGAAGTTAGGGGCTTCTCCTTGAGGCCAGGCCAAGCCCAGTGGGGATAGCTCTGAGGAGCTGGATATATAGGTCCAAGGATATTACCTGGAAATTTTGATTCTGTCCATGATCTCTGATCTCGACTGCTTTTTCTTATCAAACATTTCATCTCCCAAGGTGACGTAAATCTGCTCCCTATTTCGAATGAGGCGATAGCCAGGTGACACATTTATCACTTCCTGGGCATCAAGGTGGAAGGTGAGATAATATTGTAGACTTGGAGTGCTGAGATCCCTCTGAATCTTTCACTAGAGCGCTACTGACATCTTAAACAAAAGACGGGTGGGATTCCAGAGCCCACGTCTCTCCTGCGCCCTTCCCCAGAAACCACTCACCCTCATACCTCCAGCCCAGATGTCTCTCCTGAGATCCAGTTGCAAGACTCAAGTGGTTCATGGATGTCCCCAAAGATCCCTCAAGCTTAACATGTGGAAAACTTAACTGCAGACGCCCCATTAGGCACTCTGCCCCAAGCCCTGTACCTCATCTGCGTTCTCCACATGGCCAGAGGCCAGGAGGAAGTCAGGTGCCATGGAAATTGCTCAGTTTTTGGAACTGGACAGGCCTGTGTTCAAATCCTGGCTCTGCCTCCAACCACAGTTATTCAACATCTGTGTGCCTCAGTTTCCGCATCAGAAAAGGAGGATAATAACTCTTCCTCCAAGGACTTTTGTGAGGAAAACCAAAATAACATGAAAAAATGTCTAGCACAGTCATGAAAACAAACAAACAGGCCTATTTTAGTCAGTTCTTCCTCTGTTCCCCACTAGATCAAAGTCAGGAATCTGGCAGGGTTCCCAGCCGGCGGGGACCAGGATGAGACAGTACCTTCTCGAGTTGTGCAGGACAGCCCTAGGCACCACTAGCCCTGTCACTGTTATCTCCTAAATGTATCCCAACTTCCTCTTCTCTCCATACTCCTGTCCCTGGCAGAGCCCGAGGCCACCTTCACCTTTCTCTTTGGCTTTGGCCATACCTTCCCAGCTGGCCTCTCTGCCTTCATTCTGGCTTCCCAAAAGTTCATCATCCTCTCCATCTGGAGGGCAATTACATTTTTGTTTGTTTATTACTTTTTCCTGACTATTAAGGAACTGCATGATTTTTGTTAAGGGGGGGGGAAAGAAAATAGATAAAAGCAGAAAGTAGCAAAAAGCATCAATAATATCCCATCAAATAATGTTTGTTTCTAGAAGGTAAATCTTACCTGGTGCTGGACCTGTGTCAGACCTGTGAAGGCTCCCAGACACCAGAAGGATTAGGCCCAAACTTTTTGGCAGCTATCGAGATCCTTCGGGTTTAGTCCCCATCTCTTTCTCCAGCAGGGTCCTGGCCCTGCTTCCCTTGAGTGCCCTGATGCCCCTCCCCCCCACATGTGTGGGCTCCCAAGTGTGGCAGCAGGATTCTGACATGTGGGCATGAGCTGGACCCTAGCCTGGACCGGTTGTCAGTGCCTGGTTTCCCCGGCACACTCTCCTTGCCCTACACAAGGCAGTAGAGCATGGTAATTAGACGCCCTCTCTCGGGTCTGGCTTTTCTGCCACTTACCAGCTACGTTATATGCAGCAATTATAGCCCCTCCTCAGAGGATCATTGCAAAGATTCAATGAGGTAGGTACGTGTAAAAGGCCTATGCCTGCACACAGCAGGCACTCAATAAATGTTAGTCCCATGGCCCTCTTGCTGTTTTTACTCACATTAGGTAATGTGTTGCTCTCCTCTTGTTTTCCTAAATCGACTGTCACTCTGCAAGAAAAAGCTGTGCTCAGAAAGCACCCAGGGAGCAAGGAAACGTTCAAAGCTTAGAAGCTACACCCTGATTCCACCCATCTGTAAAAAGTGACATTACCAGAATGATCTCTGAGGCCCCTTTCAGCTCTCAAAGTGTTCTACTCAGGGACTAGGGAATGTTCAATGGCCCAGGGATCATTGGCATACAGACTGTGATCAAAAGGCAGGTAGTAAAAAAGTGGGGAATTGACTAATCATGCCTATTAGAACCACTCCTAAAATAAGAGCCAGGAGACTTGGCGTGAGAATCCAAAGGGCTCCCATGGCGCATAATCTCAAATGCACACATGAGGGACATTTACATTGTCTGCACAAAAGCCTTTCTTATTTGCACCAGAAATTGGTGATATGGGACCTGAAGTGGTCAGTGAAGTGAATTCAAGATAAGCAAATGGTTACTATTCTGAGATCCGGTGTTAATCCTGGTCATAATTAGTTGTTTTCAAGTGCAGAAACATGAACGTATTAGGTGTCCACATATCAAGAGTAGCTGTAAGGGAGCTCACCTGGAAGGTTGAAAGATTGGAATAAGAGTAACTAGCTTCTGATGTGCTGACAAGAATAGTTAGGCCTCTTCCCTCTGCCTCAACACACACACACACACACACACACACACACACACACACACCCCTCCACCCCTCCTTCAGGCAACTGCTGTGAAGAGAGACAACTGAAGCCTGCTTTAAGAGTTCCATTTTCCCCATGATCAAACACAGTATCTTTAAGGGTCGTGGAGTGTTTACCAGGATGAGACTGTTCACAAGTCTGCTGGGTGTGGGCTGTGGGGTTGGGAGGATTTTTCCTGGTGGAGGCAGTTCCACCTGGGTTAATAAAGTCTGGTTTTGATCCCATATCTCCCACCCTGAAAAGGGGCCTCCAGAGAAGCATTGAAAACTCTCTTGAGAAAACCAGCCCAAGGATTTGTCTACTCCAGATACGACCACCAACCTTTTAACTGGCAAATACATTACTCTTTGTGGTAAAAAATGGGCATGAATGCACAATATACACTAATAATACAATGGGGCTGGATGCCTGGGTGGCTCAGTCGGTTAAGTGTCTGCCTTCAGCTCAGGTCATGATCTCAGGGTCCTGGGATCGAGTCCCGAATCGGGCTCCCTGCTCAGCGGGAAGTCTGCTTCTCCCTCTCCCTCTGCCACTCCCCCTGCTTTTGCTCTCTCTCTCTCTCTCTCACTAAAAACAACAACAAAAATCTAAATTAAAAAAGATAATACAATGGGACTTACATGTATTTAAAAGATTTAAATTTAAAGAATTTAAAAGAATTTTAAATTTAAACTAATTAAATTTAAAAGAATTAAAACCACTGGGGCGCCTGGGTGGCTCAGTTGGTTAAGCATCTGACTCTTGGTTTCAGCTCAGCCATGATCTTAGGGTCGTGAGATGGAGCCCTGAGTCAGGCTCCGTGCTCAGTGGGGAGTCGGCTTGGGATTCTCTCTCTCCCTCTGCCCCCACCCCCTGTCTCTCTCTAAAATAAATAAATCTTTTTTAAAAATTAAGATTCAAGGGAGACCTGAGTGGTTCAGTTGGTTAAGTGTCTGCCTTGGGCTCAGGTCATGATCTCGGGGTTCTGGGATCGAGTCCCACATTGGCATCCCAGCTCAGTGGGGAGTCTGCTTCTCCCTCTCCCTCTGCCCCTCCCCCCGGCTTGTGTGCTCTCTCTCTCTCTCAAATAAATAAATCTTTTAAAAAAAGATTTAAAGCCACTTAAAATACAACTCAACTCCTATCAACCATATGCTCTCATCCATAAACCAGAAACTCTTTACAATGCAAATTTTTTTGCTTACTCTGAATTTAGGAAAGCCTTGGGGTGATGGTGGTGGGGGAATCACTGAGTACCCTGGGTCTTTAAAAAGCTGACCATGGATTGAGTTTATGTCTTTTTTTGTTGGTGGTAGATCTCCTTGAGCGCAGAGACCTTTCTCAACATCGCACTCACTTCAGAACTGCTCCAAGGGTCCGAGTGTGGCTTATAGGCACTTATTTTGTTGGGATTGTATTTCACGCTCTGAAAAGTAAAAGGTGTGGTCGGTCCAGAATGACTCTTCCTTGACTCTTGTTTTTCCTTGTCAACCTACTCAGATTACTCCGATTACACGAACCAAATTTTGAGACTTTATTGATGCCAAAGGGCTTCATGTTTTCTCATTTAATGAATTCAATGAGTGGTTAATGTATGCAAACCACAGTGCTCCATACCAAGAGAAATGGAATGAGATGTGATACTTTTTATTTAATAAGAGAAAAAAAGGCGGGGGCACATAAATACTGAAAATAGAAGAAGAAAAAGTTAAGTGCTATAAAAATTGCAGATAAAGCAATTTGCCAACTGTGTCTCCCAGGAGTTGAGAGCAGTCAGCATACTGCCATTTTTCAAGGCGACTGATATATTAAAAAAAAAAAAAAATTGCCGAAACAAGGTTATGACAATTGTGTTACAGTTCACATGTAAGAATTAAAACTTTTGAAATACAAAAAGTACATTGTATGTTTGCAAGAAAATTATAGGATTGGCAAAAATGACGTAATTCATAGAGCTGTGTGTTTGAGGCTGGAGGCCCAAGTTAAAAGTTGACTGGTGAACAGATTTTTCATGTTCCCGTTTGTAGGTCATGTCAACGTCTACCTGAGCCCCTTCCTGAGAGTGAGGCCCTCCTGGTACCCCCCTGCTCCATTTCCCAGCCTCACTCAGTGCTGACTCAGCAGGACTTAGAGACTGGCTGATGTGGAGCCCCAGTAGGGTCTCACTGGAAAGTTATAAATACAGTGAACAGGTCTTTGAATTTTAAAAGTACCCACAAAGTGTCCCTCACCATATTGCAAAGCAGGACTAGGACAGTGTTAGCAGGGGCTAATTGGTGGGCAGAGTAGATATGAGTGAGGTCGCTCCCAACAAGAGGCACTGGGAGACTGAGGCCTTGAGCTTGACTATGAATAGGGGTCAGATAAGGCCTACAGATGTGATCATGCCGGGAGTGCTAGCTAGCACACAGAAGGCAGGCACTAGGAACAAGCTCACCTACACGGCCATTCAGTTGATCCCTTTCTATGAATGCGTCCTCCCCTCTGATCAGACTTTATCACCTCCACCATTGAAACAATCCTCTTCACTGTCACCAGTGACCTTCTGGCCATTCACTACCCCCAGGTAGTGTGTCTGAAATGGGTCTCACTGGGCTAAAAATCAAGGTGTTGACAAGCTTATAATCCTCCCAGAGCCTCCACAGGAGGCTTCATCTACCTCACTGACCACTCCTTGTCAGTCTTCTTTTTGTGCTCTCTCCAACCTCTCAACACTGGAGTGCTCTGGGTCTCTGTTCTCCCGCCTCTTCCTACTTCTGGCTCCACTCCCTGCCTTGAAGATCTCTCTGGGCCCAGGGCTCTAGGTATCCTGTATATGCTGATGACTGTCAAATGTGTATCTGCAGCCCAGACCTCTCTCCCAGACCCACATATCCAACTGCTTACTTGACATTGCCACTTGGATAGTACGAGGCATCTGGAACTTTCTATGCTCAAACCCCTACAAATGTGCATCTCCCGCAGTCTTCCCCAGTTGCAGAAAATGGCAACTCCATCCTTCCTATTGCTCAGCTCCAAATCTTGAAGTCATCCTTGACTCTTCCTTTTACATTTTTCTTGTACTTAACACCCACCCCATTAGCAGATCCTACCGGTTTCTACCTGCAGAATATATCTCAAAGGCAACCACTTCTCTCCACCTATGCTGTTTCCACCAGGTCTAAGCACCATCTTCTCTTGCTTGGGTCCCTAGAATTACATCTAGATAAGATGTAATTGGCCTCCCTGCTTCTGCCCTTGGTCACTGTAGTCCATTCTCAACATAGTAGCCAGAACAGTCCTTTCAAAATGCAAGTTGGATCATGTCACTCTTCTCAGAACCCTCTGATGTTTTCCCATCTATAATGGGCTGAAAATTTGTGTCCACCGAAATTTCATATGTTGCAACCCTAACCCCCAATACCTTTGAATGTGACCGTATTGAAAACAGGGCCTTTAGAGGGGGGATTAAGTTAAATGAGGCCCTCAGGGTGGGCACTAATACAACCTTACTGGTGTCCTTGTAAGAGAGTCAGGACACACAGAGAGACACCAGGGATGTGCACCTGCAAAGAAAAGACCGTATGAAGAGGCAGCCAGTAGGTGGCCATCTACAAGCCAAGGAGAGAGTCCCGAGAGGGAACCAACCCTGTGGGCACGTTGGCCTTTGACTTCCAGCCTCTAGAACTGTGAGAAAATAAATTTCTGTTGCGTAAGCCACACAGGCTGTGTTTTTTTGTTTGCTTGCTTGCTTGTTTGTTTTGGTATGGCGGGCCTAGCAGCAAATACACTGTCCCTTTGGAAGTAAAAGCCAGAGTCCTTACACTGTCCAGAAAACTTTACTGTATGAGTTTCCTATTGCTGCTGCAAAAAATTACTACAAGCTCAGTGGCTTAAAACAAAACCAACTGATTACCTTACAGTTCTAGAGGCCAAAGTCTGAAATGGGTCTCACTGGGCTAAAAATCAAGGTGTTGACAAGCTTATAATCCTCCCAGAGCCTCCACAGGAAAATTTGTTTCCTCACCTTTTCCAGCTCCTAGAAGCTTCCTGTGTTCCTAGTGGCCTTTTTCCTTCCATCAAAGCCAACGACCACATCACATCTCCTCTTTCAAGCATAAGGACCTTTGTGATGACATTGGGCCCACCCAGATAATCCAGGGTGATCTGTCCATCTCAAAGTCAGCTGATTAGCAAACATCCTTCCATCTGCAACCTTAATTCCCCCTTGATGAGTTACAGAACATAATCGCAGTTTCCGGGGATTAAGATGTGGATGTCTTTGGGGGGCCATTATTCTGCCATCGATGTTCATCCTCTCCATTGCTTCTTTGACCTCATTCCCACCACTGTCTCCTTATGCCCTCCAATCCTGCCACATGGGTCTCTGTGCTTTCCTGGAAAAGACCAAATGTGCCAAACGGGTTCCCACTTAGGGCCTTTGCACCTGCTGTTCCCTCTGCCAGGAGTGCTAGCCCCAGATATCAGCAGGCTTCTGCTGTCCCTTTTACACAAGGGTGGCCCTGCACTCCCTATATAAAATCACAACCCCACCCTCAGCATCCCCACCTCCCTTTGCCTGTGTTATTTTCTACCTAGACCTTGATGCATTGGGTGTATGAACTTGTGTAAATCTATTCTCCCCACTAGAATGTAAGCTCTAGGAGCAGAGACTCTGCTGTGTTCACTGTTGTTTCCTTGCACCTGAAGTAATGCCCAGAAAATAATAGGGCTCAATAAATATTTTCCAAATAAATAAAGACATTGAATACAAAGATTCATGCAAAGGCCTAAAACTAAGTTATACTTCTAAGTTTACAAAATATGGATAAAAATTTAATTTTTGAGTTAAAAGAGATCTGCAATCTACAGAAAACCATAGACATAGAAAAGTAACAAGTAAAAGGTGAGTCACCACCATAAATGCCAGGGAGGCTCCCCAAGGCTCTTTGCCTATGATGTGCATTGCATATTGTTTCCTTTTAGGGCAGGAAATAGCGGCTCTCAGGGGCACCCTAACTGAGAGCTCATTTGTTGTGACTTTGAAAGCTGTGGGTGCAGAGGGCCACAGAGTTTACATGTAGGATCTGAAGTTTGGGGGAGATCATAGCGGATTCTGGTAATTCTTGCCCCCATGGACGTAAAAATACTCACTTTGGGGCAACAACAGGTTTTGTTGTTGGTTGAACACAACTTTGTTTTTTTGCAGCTGGAGGAAGAGGAGTTAGCCTGAAAGTGAAAAATAAATAATGGAAGAGAGAAAATTAGAAATTCAGAAACCTCTTTTAGCACTCCCAGATTAGGTAGATGGCCATGATTACCCAAAATTAGACTACATGCTCCAACTGCTGAAATCTTTAAAGTCAGGAAGGTCTTGGGGAGTCTCTAGCAGGAGGAGGTTTACTTGAGGAAGTTCACTTCCCAGGGGACCTGGGGTTGGCAGCATAGCTTGTCCCCCAGCTCCCAAAGTTCTTCATCCCCCATGGGGGGCTCTGGGGCCCTTTGGTTGGAAATTGCCCTTTCCTTGCTGCACTCACTCTGAGATTTCCTCATTTAAAATGACACTGAGCCTAAGGAGGACTGGCAAGAGTGATGTGCTGCCAACAGGTTGGCTGGAAAAGCTGTGGAAAACTAGGCTTTCTGGTCTTGGGATTTTGTTGCCTAGTTGACTGGAAATATTGTAAGAGAAAAAAGCCTACAAATGGAAACCTAGTCCCCAGGTCCAACTCCATCCTTATCCTTACTTGGGCTTCCCTACGGAGGTCTTGGTTGGTGGCCGAGGGGTCTTGATTAGCTTCCGTGGTCCCAAGTTCCAGGGGTCCCAGCAGGTGCAGTAGATGAGAGGGTTGGGGTACATGGCAGGAGGTCAGAGGCGGTCTTGGCCACTAGATCAGGAGGCTCTTGCTGAAGTGGGAAAGTAACAGCAGAGGGTTACACCATTCAGAGTCAAAGCAAAAACACTTAGAAACAAATTAGGAAGGATCCAGCAAAGACCCAAATCACAGATGGTAGATTCTGGAAGCTGTTGATCTGGTGCAAGGTCTTGACTATAGAATAACATCTCACCTTTTGGTACCCCGTAGACTTGACTCGAAAGCAATTTAAATTTTGCCGCCATTGAGTGCTTACTGTGAGCCAGGTGCACAACAAATGATTGATTATTGTTATCCCAATTTTACAGGTAAAGATCCTGAGGCTCAGAATGATCACAAAGGTAGCAAGTTGCAGGGCTGGGAATAAGCACAAGTCTACTGGACTCCCAAGCCCTTGTTCCATCGGGCTACACTAGCTCTCACCGAGATAAGGAGAAGATTCTATGGTAGGTCTTGCACAGAATTTCCTAGAAAATTAACTGTTACTCAAATTACAGTGCAAGTGAATGTCCTAGTTTCTCATTCCTGTTCACCTGCCTCAATTATAGATCAAAACTCTTCCTTCTTGGCTCCATGAAAACAAAACCAAAAAATCCCTATTATAAATGTCCGCATGGAAGACAACTATCAGATAAACAGGGAGGCTTGACCACACTTGTTTATCTTCTTTATTTTCCAGAACGCCACTAAAATGATAGTATAGGATTGTGAGATACTAGAAAAAATATATATTGGTCTCTGCCCCCAGTTCCCAACACAGGGCTTCTGAAACCCTCGTGAATCCCAAGTGATAAGAACACTAGGAGCATCATTGTTCTAATGAAGCAACTCTGGGTGGGCTCCAGGACGGGGCCTGGTCACCCAAAAAACCAAGACATGATTAAAAAGTTAAGAGTTTTCAGCCTCAGTCCCTGCCCCCATGCTGCAAGGAGGGGAGAGGGCCTGGAAATGGAGTTAATAACTGATCATACCATGAGGAAGTCTCCATAAAACTCCCAGAAGTATGGGGTTCGGTGAGCTTCAGGGTTGACAAACACATTCACATTGGGAGGGTGATGCACCCAGACTCCATGAGGGCAGAAGCTCCTGCGCTTGGGAGCCTCCTAGACCTCACTGCATGTACTGATTCATCTGGCTGTTCATCTGTATCCTTTAATAAACTGGTAAATGCAAGTAACTTCTTTTCCTGAGTTCTGTGAGCTGTTCTAGGCAAATTAATTGCACCTAAGGAAGGGGTCATGGGAACCTCTGATTTATAACTGATGGGTCAGAAGCACAGATGACAACATGGATTTGCAATTGGTATCTCTGGCGGATGGGGCAGGGTGTCGTGCTCAGTCTTGCGGGACTGAGTCCTTACCTGTGGGATCTGGAGCTACCTACAGGTAGAGTGTCAGAATTGAGGTAAATTATAGGACTCCCGGGTGATGTTGTAGAGAATTGCTTGGTGGGGGAAGACCCACATACATCTGGTGTCATAAGTGTTGTGAGTGTGATAGTCGTGTGAGAGCAAAAGAGACACATAGGAGGAAGGACTGGCTTTTTTCCTAATTCAAGGATTAAAACAGGTTTAATTTGACAAGAACAGGGAGAGTGGGAGAGAAGACAGAACTGTACAAGGGTTGTCCGTGTGAGTTTGACACAATAACTCCCCCACTCAGCACGCCATTGGAAGCTGAAGCCTACACGCCTGCAAAGCGGGTACAAACCAGAAGGGACTAATTCATGCATCAAAGGCCCCCAAGACTCGGGACTTGGACCTGGTGGATTGTTGGATAATATGGACAGGCCTCTGGCAGGTCTGTTAGAGCATGTAGTAGGCCAGATGATGAGCCCTCCCTGCAAACATGTCCATGTGTCCATCCCTGGAACCTGTGCAAAAAGAGGACTTGCAGCTATGATTAAGTTGAGGATCTTGAGAAGGGAGATGATACCAGATTATCTGTGTGGGCCTAAGGTAATCATTAAACCTCCTTATAAGAGGGAGAGTCAGAATCAGAGAAGAAAATGTGATGATGGAAGAGGAGGTAAGAGTGATCAAGGAAGGGCCACAAGCCAAGGAATGTGGGCATCTTTAGAAGCTGGAAAAGGCAAAGAAATGATTCTCTGCTAAAGCCTCCAGAAGGAACCAAGTCCTGCCAACACCTTGATTTTAGCCCGGTGAGACCCATTTCAGACATGCGACCTCAGAACTGCTGGGGAATAAATTGGTGTTGTTTTAAGCCGCTAAATTTGTGGTCATTTGTTACAGAGCAGTTGTAATAGGAAACAGAGCAATTGAGGTGAAATTACCAATAGAAACATAGAAACCTAAGAAAATAAAAGTTGCATAATGACTCCAGGTTACAAAATATTATGGAAGAAAGTAAACATGGTTATAGGAAGGTACACACTCATATATATTAATGTAAACACTTAATAGTGATTTAACCAAAAAGTGAATTGGGACTACATTGGCAGAGAAGGGGAGGGGATGGGAGGGAGGGCATAAAAGGGCCAAATGCTCATCTACCACACCAAGAAGTCAATAGACAATGGCTCAAACTGAAAAATTAACAAATGGAGTGGGGGCAAATTATTGAGAAGTATGAAGTTAAATTCCAAAAGAAATAGCTTCAAGAGTTGAAAATAGTTGCCCCTAAGGAGGATGCCGAGGAGTAGAACTGAGAAGTGAGGGGCGGGGAGCAGAAATGCTAACTTTTCATTAATAAACTCATAACACAATTTACTTTTTAAATGATATCAGTGGATTATTTGATAGAAAATAAAAACCAATGCCCAAAAATGTTAGGAGAACCAACAGAACCACAGAGGGATTACAACGACAGCAGATTTATCTCAAATTTCTAAGTCAGTGGCTGGTTTCCAATAGTACACTGGAATAAATTTGTTTAAGAATCAACTGAAAAATGAAACAAACCTTTTTGTGTAATGTGACCAATGCTTGAGAAACCCAGTTGCATGTTTTAATGACTTTTAGAGCAAAAGGTAACCATAAGATAGAGTCCATTTTACAGATGAAGAAACAGATTCAAAATGAAGTGACTCCTGGGCTGCCTGTAAATGCTCATTTAGCATCAAAAACACTGGGGCGCCTCAGATGGTTAAGCATCTGCATTGGGCTCAGGTCATGATCTCCAGGTCCTGGGATCGAGTGCCATGTCAGGCTCCCTGCTCAGTGGGGAGTCCGTTTCTCCCTCCTCCTGTGCCTCTCCCCCTGCTTGTGCTCTGTCTCTCTTCTCTCTCTCAAATGAATGAATAGAATCTTAAAAAGATAAATAACAGCAAAAATACTTACAGGTTCTTGCCGTGAGGACCGTTCTAGTTGCTGCGGGATACTGCACACTTGCACCCTGCCCTTGGGGAACTTGTGGTCAGGAGGGTAGCCATCAGACAGGGAGCTGAGTGGGCTGTGGAGCCAGGGCAGGAGACCCGGCCCTGGGAGAAAGGCAGGATGTGCAGGTGGAGGTAGGCCTGCCGGATGGGCTGTGCCAGAGGTCTGGGCCCAGCATGCTCCCCGGCCAAGAGACTGGGTAAACAGCATGCGCCTAAAGACTGGGTGACAGGGCCCCCCACATCTAGCTGTGTTCTGTGTGCTTGGGGGCCTAGTCAGGAGATCTGAGGGAGACAGGGTCAGGGAGGCAATTGGGGTGGGGCACCCAGGCCGAGAAGGCGATGCCACAAGGGCTAGAATTCAGGTGAGAGTCTGCAAGGCGGAGGTAGCAGTGGCAAGAAGGAAGCTCTGCTGCTGCTTCAGACCTGGCATCTGCTTCCTGAGAGGACAGAAGCCAATCCTGAACTTGGGCGACTTGGCAGGTGTCCCTGGCACAGGTGGTGAGAGGCCAAGGCCAGCTCCCAGCAACTGCCTTCTTTATTCTATTTCTTGCCTGACCAACCGCACTGTGCGGTTCTTGAAGGGCGGTACTCCACCAGGTCATTCTCTGTGTCCCCATGGAGCGTGGCCCAGCGACTTGTCCACAGTGGGTCCTGGATAAATATTTATGGCCTGACTGATAAACTGAGTGGCTGTCACCACAGGGGCCGACGCAACAAGGAGGAAGGAGATCCACAGAGGAACGGCAAAAATGTCATCATTGTTACAATGTTATAGATAATATGAAAAATTAGAGTTAAAAAACCCAAAATGATTGGTAAATTATTGTACAGTCACTTAATGGGAGTTTTACACAGATTTTAACGGATTATTTGAAAGCCTGTGGGAACATGAAGAAATGGTTAAAGAACAAAGATATAAAATGGTATATATGCAATGGATACAATTATGTAAAAGTATGTACCTATATGCACAAAAGTTAGAAAAGAATATGGTAAAAAAGGAAAATTGGATCAGAATACCAGGATTATGGGTTTATTTTTTTCTTCTACAACATTCTTTACTAAGATTTTCCTTGGGTTTTGGAGTCAGGTGGGCCTGACTTTGCATAATTACTCCTCTACTTAATAGCTGCAGGACCTCAAGACATTTACTTTTACTTTTCTGGGTCTCGGTTTCTTCATCTGCAAAATAGGGACATGGGAGTTCCACCTCATTGGGAGGTCATGCACACGAGATGAGACCATGTCAGAAAAGCTCTCGGCCTGCTGCCTTGTACACATTAGGTTCTCAAAAACTGGTAACTGAGTTTAGGAATATTACAAACCCTAGTGATATTTTTGTATACAGAAGCTTTATTCCTAATATTTGGAAAGAATAGGTTTATTTGTGTGTGTGTGTTAAATTGAAATAGGCTCACTATAAAGAAAATCATAATACAGGAAAGCCTAAGGAAGTAAACATGATGACTACTGGAAATATTCTGATTAATAACTTCTAGAATTCTCTCTAGGGCGCCTGGGTGGCTCAGTTGGTTAAGCGACTGCCTTCGGCTCAGGTCATGATCCTGGAGTCCCGGGATCGAGTCCCACATCGGGCTCCCTGCTCAGCAGGGAGTCTGCTTCTCCCTCTGACCCGCTTCCCTCTCGT